TCTGTTCTTCCGCATTGTTATTTATCCTGGAATCTTTCCAATAACAGATAAATGTCAGAAAAATAAAGAAAAAAATTTTCTCCTTCATTAAAAACTTTTTTATCTGGTTTTTTATTTCTCTGGTCTTTCCTAGTCCCTTTTTAGACTTTAAATTAAACTTATAATACATCCTTTACTTGACTTTGAAACCAGTTAAGACTGTATATTTATGTAAATCATTTTTTTTTATATTGAGAGATTCTGAGGCCAAATTGTTTGACTACAGTAATCTTTGACTTATTGAGAACTATCATCCCTTAATTTCAAAGAATCAGAGTATCTGATTTTCTATTAGCTAATTTCATTTGATAATTATCTTCACAAAAATATTGCTATTTCTATGATAGCCGCCAGAACGAAAAATAACTTTGAATATCATAATACCGACGGTTACATCATTAACAACTAGTGCTAATTGTAACGGGGACCGTTACAGATGTTCCCCAAACGCTCCCCAACTCCCTTTTGGTGCCATATTCCCTATAAGCTTCATTGAATAAGACAAACTCTATGCATTTGAGACTTTAACAACGTTTACCCAGAAGTGTACCAATTTCATTAAAATTTAGCATTGCACGCGTGCGCATGTGAATGCACGTGCGTAATGACCATATAATCTTGTCTTCACAATTTATAGATTTTAATATACTAAATATAAAAGTATTTAATCCAAAAGTATTAAAAATACGCTAATTCAAGTGTATTTTTTATTTTACTCATTTCACGTGCACGCACGTGCTCACATGAGCATGTCGACCATACTTTCTTGTAGAAGTCCATTACATCTACAGTGGCTGGAACGTTATTGTTGACAACTTACACGAACGATCACGTTACACGAACGATTCCGCACGATTAACGCACGATTAAACCTGTTACACGAACGATCTTTCACGTTCACGATTCTACACGTTACACGATCTTACACGATTGTTAACGCAAACGCACGATTCTTCACTCAAAATAATTCAAAATATTTAGGAATCAATATTTTCAAAACGAAATACGGCTTAATACTTATTTAAGATTTCAAAGAATCATCAATGTTATTTTATAGACTTTGAAGAAAAAAACGGAAAATGATATTTCTGTAACTAAATATATGCAAGACTTAATATTTTAGATTTAAAATAATTATTTCTAAGGTAATTCTCCGATCAAAAAAAAAAAAGGATTTTGTTCGTTCTATTAGACGATGTACATGTATGTGGGTCGTATAATTTGATTGAATTGGATATCATGATATGCAGAAAGGGGGGTACGATTGAACAAAAATGGCAGCATGGAATGACTTAAATCATAATTACAAATTTTATCCTTATGTTTTCAATGATTCAATGTCTGATAAACTTGCCAATTATTCACCTTTTTTATTTGCAGAAATCTAAAATTAATTAATTACAAATAGGCTCAAGAGATAAACACAGATAATCAAAACTCCCGAAAATCACGCCGTGTCCATGTATAATTGTCGACTAACTAGTTATGTAAGCATTGAGAAATGTTTATTTCTTTGTAAAAAAAAATATATATTTATTTTCAATGAATTGATTTCAAGATTATCTTGACCACAATAAGAAGTAAATATTAATTAAAATCAGATTTTTCAAAAAGGCGTTAAAGAATCACAATATTGATCGCGCAATTTGACGAGAACTTAATATTGTACGACTTACTATATTGCTTGTTTACGAGCGATAATTAGTTCGTTCTGCATTCTATTATGTAAATTGCGCTTTTTCATTTTATTTGGATTCTGATTAATAAATTAAGAAAAACAAACAAGGGAAATGCTTATTTTACAAATAACATTCCGATAAAAACTTACAAAACGAAATTTACACGATTCTAAACGCACGATCTCGCACGATTAAAAACGCACACGATTGAGTCTGATACACGAACGATCTTGCACGTTACACGAACGATCACTCACGATTCACGAACGATTTTACACGATTGGTGTGTCAACAATAACGTTCCAGCCACTGTATCTATGTTCTAATTCCCACCCCGTTTGGTTGAAAACCAAGTGAGTTATAGCTGTTCAAAGTTTCAGCCAATCAGATTGCAGCGCACGTACATGCACGTGTATGCATGTGCATGGTGACCATATCTTCTTGTAGAAGTCCATTATATCTATCCATGTTCCAAATCCCATCCTGTTTGGTTGAAAACCAAGGTAGTTATAGCTATTTAAAGCATAAGCCAATCAGATCGCAGCGCACGTGCATGCACGCGTTTTCATGATAATTGCTATATATCTTATTGTAGGATATCTTAATACATGCTTATGCTTAAAATTTCAAAGGATTTCGTCAAAAAACAAGAAAGATATTGAGACTTTAGTTTCAGCCAATCAGAGCGAAGCACACGTGCATGCGCGTGAGATCCCGCTATTTTGACCATGTCACCATGTCTGTACTACTAATATATCCTCACATTATCAGTTTCAAAGCATTTCATAAAAAAGTAGAAAAATTACGGCAATATCTATCATATTGGTCATTTCACGTGTTGCACGTGAGCGCTCTTGCAAGCACGTGCGCGCAAAATGACCTTGACTAGGCAAATCTACATAACATGTCTACTGACCCTAAAAAGGTTTTACCTACATCGGATGAACAGTTTACAAGATCATTCCCGGACAAAAAAGTACCCAGGAAGAAGAAGAAGAAAAATAACTAGAAACTCTTGTTGCTACAGCAACAAAGAAGGTCTTCCGTTCTCCTCTATTAATCTGTATGCAGGATGTTTTTTTCTATTTTAAAAAAGACAGATATATAATAAAGAAATAATAGAAAAAATGCAAAAAATAAAAAAAAACTAGTAAACTAATTGTTCAGTGAACAATTATCGGACTTTCCACCTTTTTAAACATTTCAATATCATTTGGGCTGAAAAAAGTAGGAAAAAAGCAAGAAAATAATAAAAAAAAACAAAACAGCAAAATTCTCATTTCTCTACTAGGATTTTAGATCTGGCTCGCAGTTGGTATAATTTTACCCTAAACAGACTTCCTGGATTGTTTGTAGTCGACTCGGGGATAACCACGATTTCATTGATCACGCAAAGAGAGCACATTAAAAATATTGTAACACGCTCCTATGTGTACATATGAGCTTGAATTAGATTGTTTTCAAGTTCAGATGTAAGGGGTAGGGTCTGATTAAAATTATGATATACCTATTAATATGAATAACATGCATTTGATCTGCGCATCAAGACAGAAGCGTAAGTGAAAACGTTGTGAAATGTCCCATGTGTACCTGCATCATATGTGCATTATACATGTATTAAAGAGATGTTTGAAAAATATCCGATTTGAGTTGTTTTATGTTTGAAATGAATGGCGATAAATTATTTAAGAGCATGTGAGAAACATGAGCGAGAGATGCAAGGCAGTTTGTAATTATAGAAAAGGAAAACGGAGAATCGGATTCGGATTTTGAGGACAGGAAATCATGCGACCGGAAGTGAATTTTACTGAGATATTATACATTACTGTAGACGTTTGCAGTCTGCATAACATATCTAAAGGTCATTACAAATACTTTATCTATAAAAGGTATTTATGGGAAAGAAAAATACTCAAATCATGTAGTTTTTCTCTTATAACCGGAAGCTGTCGTTGTTGTTTCCGGTAAGACTGATATATTTTGAAACTACAAATCAAATGCTATAATGTGATGCAAAAAAAGTTTCATTAAAGAAAAGTTGAAATTTTTGATTTCTTAGATCACTTCCTGTGACGACCGGAAGTGACGGCTGACGGTCTTATTCCAACTGAATTTGCCTACTTATCATGATCTACCAATTATTTAAGTTTGGTGTCTTAATCTCTAACCGTTTATGAGATCTAGCTATGATAACTTCTCATTTTGAGGACAGGAAATCACGCGACCGGAAGTGAATTTTACAAAGATATTTGACGTTACTGTAGTCATTTTCAGTCTGAATAACATATTTAAAAATCATAACAAATACTTTATCTATAAAAAATATTTATGGGAAAGAAAAATACTGAAAATATGCAGTTTTTCTCTCATAACCGGAAGTTGTCGTTTTGTTTCCGGTGGGACTGATATATTTCGAAACTACAAATAAGATGCTATAATGTGATGCAAAAAAAGTTTCATTAAAGAAAAGTTTAAATTTTCGATTTCTTTGATCACTTCCTGTGACGACCGGAAGCGACGGCGGACGATCTTAACCCAAATGGACATGCCTACTAATCATGATCTATTACTCCTATAAGTTTGGTGTCTTCATCTCTAACCGTTTCTGAGATATGACCAGGACAAAATCTTTTTGAAAAAAGCGGAAATTGGACATATCTGACGACCGGAAGTGCATTAAAACAAAATGAAAGTTACATTTTAAAGATATTTTGACTCTCTATCATCCCTGAAAATTTCATGAGAATCTATCCAGTCATCTATGAGAAATTGTCAAAAATAGAAAAGGGAAAAAAAAATAAGAAAAAGAAAAAGAAACAGTCGAATCACTATAAGGTCTTCCGCCTCAAACGGAAGACCTTAATAATAATAAGAAACAGAGTAAAAACAATATGTTCCCCAACTTCGTTTGGGGAACATAACTATGGAGCTAAACAGGGAAGGTTTTATATGTCATAACGCTTGGACTTTGAATTAATGCCATACTTACAATTAAATCAATTTAGAGCAAGATTAAATCTAAATGCAATACTCAATTAATAATTTATGATGCAACGTAATGAACTAAAGCTCTTTAAAAAATAATAATAATAATAATCTAGCCTTTCATTGTATTAAAAGTGAAATTTAAAATGACCCAAGGTGCTTTAAAATATTAGGAGAAGTTTTTGATTATTGTACTTTAATGTCATAAGTTTATACTTTAAATAATTATGATCAATGTTTATTGATTGTCTGCTGTTGTTGTCTCTCTATATTGCTAATATATATTTTATCTTTCAGTGGACTTATACAAAAACATTGGCGACATCAGGACCGACCTCAAACAATCTGATGACAACCAACAGAGTCTGTCCTCCACTGTGACGACTCTCCAAAGGAACATTACCAGAGATAACTGCAGTAAATTTTATAATCAATTATAAAAGAGAAACCATCATAAAATTCAAATTAATTAATTTCACTATATTAGCGGGTTATTAATTATGTTAATGGTATTTTTTAAAGTAAAAACATAACAGTATTCTTTTTATATATCTTCGATTCTAAAGACAGAATAATTTTAATTTCTTTTTTAAATAAATATTTCTAGCATATTATACTTTGTAGACATATGTAAGAGAGTGGCCTTCACAGCAGGAGTGACATTGGGCAGCACCTCATGGGACAGTGGTACCTTAGTGTACGATAAAGTCATCAACAATGTGGGAGGAGGGTATAACCCGAACACCGGAATCTTCACCGCACCAGTAGAAGGAGGCTACGTGTTCTACGTCACTATCCTAAGTTACGATACGGACTTTATATACATAGATATTGTATTAAATGGATCTAGTAGGGTCCGAGCAGTGGCCCTAACCTCTAGTCCAGACGATAATGCTGAGGTGGGTACAAACCTTGTAACATTAAGGCTACAGAAAGGGGACAGGGTATGGGTAAGACATGTAACTGGTACAGGTTATGATACATTCAGTCATGCACCTTGCACCACATTCTCTGGATTCCTTATTTGAATTAAGAACGTTCATAGACTCTATATAGAATGGAAAAAATGTAGCTGTATTTTTGTGTGTTTTTGTCGTTTTGTTCTTGTTACTCAGTTTAATGATTTTAATCATAAGTATTCATTTAATTTGTATACATAGTATAAAATGCAGTATTCAATTTGATTTGTCTTTAGCAAGTAATTTATTACATCTATCTTTAAGTGTAAAAATTGGTAGTGTTAGAATTCAAATTTATATTATTTTATTGTACTTAAGGAAATTATTTTTTCTTTAAGTTATAAAAGCATTATAAAATATAAAAGTAAAATTATCAACGACAAATCTAGGTTTGAGGCAAACTGAAGCAGGGATGTTTGACGGACACTAGAACAGGACCTATAATTTGAATTCAACCACTTGCACACGACAAGAAATATGTAAATTTGATATTTTTATCGCTACATCATCTAAGCTTTCATTTACATCTTGTGTTTGTATGTATTCTCATGTAGTGTAGATTAAAGTTTGGTCAAGTCATGAATCCCTGGAGGTAGGCTTGGGCAACAATGGAGATCAAACTTTAACAAGCTAGTTCTCCAGAACAGCAGTTTCATGATAAATCTTATGGATATAGGAAAATCCTCAGATAGTACAGTTTTAATTGTTTTCCAAACAATAAAACCCCCAGGGTGGGAGGGCGGCTCAAAGAAGTTTCAAAGTTTTGAATAGAATAATAAAAGAAAATTTTAAATAAATTCATATGAACTACAAGAGCATAAGTAGTCATATGAAGTATTCTATGATAGTGAAGACTGAAGGATGTTCTAATCCAACTCATCCCGTCATCTTCTTGGGTTAGGATGGAGACACAATGGGGGATTAACGTTTTACAAAGGAATATGAACTACGACAAATCTTTCAAAATCATCTTCTCAACTACTGCTAAGTATGTGTAGTCATACTGAGACGGAAGCATCTTCAGGTAGTGAAAAATGATGAGGTTTTATTTTATTTTAAATCATGACCTCAAGGATAATAGTTTGACCACAATTGGATATCAAAGAATATAAGAATAAAACCTTTAAGAAAACAATCTCCAGAACAACAAAGCTATTTCATTATTATTTTTTGTGAACAATCAATTTTTGGGGACTTCCTCATCAAATGATGAAACACGATTATTATTCTTTTTAAAATAATTTGTAATACCAATTTAAGATAAGGAAACTGATAGACCGATTTAACTTGCTCATCAGTATACCATTAAGCATTTTTTAAAAAAAAATATATCTTAGTTTTATGTAAATTACCATAAAATTTCCAATCATCAAAATTTAAGTAAATTTAACCAACTAGGTACCTTTTGTATTCCATCAGGAGAATCGGAAAATAATACTGTGTCATCTGCATAGAACATTAATAAAAAGGTATGCTTCTTGAAGATGAATATCTTGGCAATTACACATATTTAAAGAATTTTCTAAATCATGCAGATATAAAAATAATTAAAAAGAACACTTATAGTGAAGTGAAGAAAAAAAATACATGCATTAAAAAATGCTTTGTCTCTTCAAAGCTATATCATGTTGTAAATTTTGAATTTACTAGGGGGAGGTAAATGCAAAATTTACAACACGATAACTTGTAAATTTTGCATTTACCTCCCCCTAGTAAATTTAAAATTTACAACATGATAGCTACCCGAATCTTAGGTATCTGCTACGTAGAATATTATCTACACTGATTTTAAATAAATCAAATAATTCGGAATGGCAAATTCTTATCATACTCTTCCAGCCTTAATATGAATATTGTATAAAACTATACATTTTACAAAGTATTTGATACTATGTCAAGTTGTACGAAATTTAGTTTTGTTTTGAACTATTTAATTGACAATATGTAAAAGGGATTTATATTAAAAATGTTCCAAAAACTTAGATAGTCTTCTAGTCATACTGAAACGGAAGCATTCTCAGGTAGTGTAAATTCAGATGTGTTCAAATGAGGACCACCCGGGATAAGGTGGGGCCAAAATGGGTGATGACAGTTTTACATAGGAATATATTGGAAAAATATACAATATATATCAAAAACAAGCAAATCCATGATTACTCATTTTGATATGGAAGCATACTCAGGTAGTGCTATCATTTTTCTGTGTCTGAGGTCAATATTATTTGCCATGAGTCCTTATAACCACATATTGACCGTTCACTAAAGTCCATAGTTATATTATATAATCACTCAAAGTGAATGAACTGACACAGTCCTAACAAAACAGACTTGGCTGTCATAACGTTACAATGGTTAAAAAATGCGTTTATGTGGAACACGCTGAGTGATTCTAGAACATATATCAGACTGGAAATCGTAGTGTCAGGAACAGCTTTATATGGTATTGTGGAAGACAATCAAGAAGCTGGTGACATTGACAGTGCAACTGGCTCTAGATTTGTTATTGTTAATCTCAATGTTGGAAATACGGTGTTCATTCGTTCTAGTGACAGTGGTTCTGGGCCTATGCGAACTGAATCAAATGTCATAACTGCGTCTTTTTCTGGAGATCGAATTTAACAAATTCTAAAAATAACTTGTCGATATAAAGAAGTCCTTGATTTATAAAGGAACCTTTAAAAAAAATAAGTGCAGGGTGTCTGATGTGTTCTGTGCAATGCATCGGATCTCTATATCGACCTCTGAGAAAGGAAATTATGGGGTCTGTCATACATCCTTCTTTATTCATCTTCATATATTCCCACACAATTTAAGATTGACGGACTCATTTTATTAATCATACATGTAAGTGTATGTTTATGTTGATGAATAACTAAATCAAATTGATATATCATAAACATTTCGTTTCAAGACAAACGATCTTTAAATACCTGAAGAAAATTCAGACTAAAAACCAGAATGTATACTAGTATTGAAACTGAATATCGAATTCAAAGAAAATGTTAAATCCTTGATCTACAATTATTTTCATGACACATATTGTTATGGTACTGGTATAATATGTTAAATTATATTTGCATACAAGTAAATATGTCAGTGTTCCATAAATATTTTATTTTAATTGCAAACAAGTTTTATCAGTTCATGATTTTGGACTATACACAACAGTGACAAAATAATCTAATTTGACTAAAAATTGTAGTTTTTCATACAAATATAACTTTTATACAAAAATTGTTTCTCGTTACAGGTGTAACATGTTCCCATTTATAAATAAATATTACCAGTATTTTAAAAATAAATATAACATATTTTTTTTGCCACAAATTAAGACTTTTCTGAAAGACATTAATTTTCAGAAACAAAAAATTCCGTAATTCTTGCTAAATTAAAAAAATATAATTTTGTTTTTATTTCATTCGTTATCTTGTCAGCAGTCATGAGCCTACCTATGGCAAATTAGATATCCTTACCCCGTCCTTTCTTGGATACCGAATTAATTATATTCTTTGACGCTGATTGCAGGACCTTCAATCGTATATTCTGATCTTTAATACCGGGGTAATATATTCTTCAATAACCCAGATAGCAGGATGTCATTGGACCTTTGTTGGGCCAACAATACTCCTTATGTTGGGCCACCGTATGCATTCAACATTGGGCCATCGGTAATTTGCTCATCGGCCCTTACTCAAACCAACTTGTTGGCTTATTGTTGGGCCAATGTAACAGTTAATATTAGGCCACTGTTGGGCCAATGTATTCTTTCAATATTGGACAAACGTCATTTTTGTACAGTTGGGCCATTGTAAGCAATTAATGTTGGGCCAACGGTAATTTGCTCATCGGCCCTTAATCAAACCAACTTGTTGGCTTATTGTTGGGCCAATGTAACAGTTAACATTGGGCCACTGCTGGGCCAAAATATTCTTTCAATGTTGGGCAAACGTCATTTTTGTGCAGTTGGGCCATTGTAAGCAATTAATGTTGGGCCAACGGTAATTTGCTCATCGGCCCTTAATCAGACCAACTTGTTGGCATATTGTTGGACCAACGAACGGATATTATTGAGCCATTGTTGGGCCACTTATTCTTTCAATATTAGGCAAACACCGTTTTTGGGCCAACGTTGGTTTGTATCTTATTGGCTCTCCATCAGGACAACACATTTTTCTTCACTGGTTGGCCATTTGTCCTCAAAATTGAATAACAAACTATATATAATAAGGTTATAGTAGTTTTGTAGTACAGTTTAATGGTAAAAGCCCTTTAATACTATATATGCTAGATTAATAGTTTAATACATATTCACAATATCTCATATATCTATCAACAAGTATTGAATTATAAGTAGCTCTACATTAATTTAAAAAACGGAGGAAAAAGAAATCAGAATATAAAATTACATTATAACATACTAATATTTTATTGCTCAGTGCATGAAGAAAACGTTAATAAAGAACAGAAAGCTGATGCTCACTTGAAGCGAAACATGTAGGGTTACATGACTGTATAATCCCTCTGTGATGTAAATTTATGCACAAGTTCAGTAAATTGCAGGTATATATAAGCACTTCTAAGAAATAAACAAAGCCCTCCTGTTCTTAAAATAATACTAAAATGAATCCCGCAATTTTGTTTACTTACACAAAAAATGTTTCTGACATCTGCATCATGTTTGTTACCGACAAACAGACACAGAAAAGGAGAGAGCTACAGGTATGTCACAGTATATAACAGAAAAAAGTTAGGCACTGCCACGTTCAATCTGATTCCTCTCCTAAGTCTCCTCTTCTCTCTCTCCAGAGTCTCCTCCTCCCCTTCTTTTCTTCTCTGTCCGTTTCTTCCTCCCTTATCCCTGTCCTTGGCATACCTTAGCCATCCTTTGATTGTGTTCTCAATGTCTTTTTAGAATCTCCAGTAGCACTAAAATTGTATTTAGTACTTAATACATTTTTTACTTTTCTCAGTAGAGAGTAACATACGATTAGATTTACAAGACTTGTATATCACTATATTTTTAAGCTGTCAATTGAGGAATAACCGTCTTTTTTGTTGGTGTGATTAAGCGATTAGCTTGCGTGATGAAAGACATTTATGCGTAAAATTTCTATGCTTGATCATCATCACCACACTGATTCAATGTTACCCCATATAAATCATTATTCGAAGTAAAATAGTATACATGTTTAAAAAGAATTGTCGGTACACTGAACACATTTTAAATGAAAGAACCCAGTTTATGCTTTAGTACTGAATTAATTTTTTAACTTAAACATGTTCAACATTTTCAACATGTTTGATCATGTGCTCGACTTTAAGTGTATATAAGTAAAATGAGTGGTAGACTTTGGAAATTTATTCTACTAATTGTAATCTAAATAAGGGGCAAATTATTTATTGTTTTAACTGTATCAAAACACATTTGTTATTTTATACTTTCATTTATTTTTCTTGTATAGAAACAATAAATTTAATCACTGATAATTTATTTTGTTTTGATAAATTTTAAGAATTTTAACAAGCCTTGTAAATTTAAATTAGTTAACTTGTATTTTCAAGAAGGATTGGTGGTAGATTTATTTCTGATTTTAGAGACTATCGGATTTGTTAATATACAGATTTGTAACAATTAAATGTTTATAAATATTGGTCCAATATATCGGGCCAACATTGGGCCAATGAGCAAAATGACACTGGGCGAACGTCATTTGCCAACATCGGCCCAATGTTCTTGTTGACGTTGGGCCAAGAATGGCCCAATGTCGCATTCAGCTGGACAATGTTGTCTCAACGTTGGGCCTATATCTGTAGCAAAAACACTTTACATTGGGCAAACGTTGGCACAACATATCGGGCCAACATTGGGCCGATAAGCAAACTTACATTGGGCCAATGTCATTTGCCAACATTGGCCCAATGTAACCGATAACACTGGCCCAACGTAGGCCCAATGTTAGCATGCTATCTGGGACAGTGTTGACTCAACATCACCTGGCCTTTGCTTTGATTTACACAGATTTGTACACGATATCGTTTAAACTATAAACGTTAATTAAGCTGTGTCGAAGCAAACATATTATAAATACTTACAAAGTGGATGAAGATTTGCAAGGCATCAATCTCATTACGCTCGTGTCAGATTAAAAATGGCGCGGATATTTCAAGTAGCCCGGATGTTGTCTACCCATGATGCTCAACCAGATTCATGGTATATTGGGCCAACTTGGGGCCGATGCCAGTCTCCCAACAATATTTTCTCTCACGATAATAGTTTTATGACATAACGCCAATAGTTAGCCCGACATTGGCCCCATTATATACTGATATACATAACCAACTATCAATATTCCATGTTGGACCACCATTGTTGGCCCAATAAAGGTAACCCAACAGCGATAATACAAGCATAATGTAAGATTGGAACAACGATGTTTTGCTATCTGGGATTCACATCCTGTTCCTGAGAACTTTTAACTAACATTTATTCAGTCTTCTCTAAATTTTCATGAATACAACGCTCATGAAAAAAAATCATAATATTAAGCGTTTTATTACAAATAAATAAGCATGGACACAATTCAAAAAATAGAATAAAACACTCTTTGGTGCTGTGATCAGTTAAGTTCAAAGTTAAAATGTTGAAAATATCATATCTAAACAAAAGCAATCATCCAATGAAAAGCATGGACATAGAATATCCTCTTAATTATTTCAGAATGTGCATCTAAATTTATATTTGGAACCAACGTTGTCCCAACGTAAAGCTCAGCAGCTAATTATAAAATTGACACCATCATTTAGTTGGCAGTATAATAATTGGACCAACGTTGGCCCAATATAAATATCCCATCTTTGAAACACCTAAACAAAATAACACTCTTGCTAACATCGGGCAAACGTTGGGCCAACATTCTATTACCAACCTGATAAGACATTTTCTTTAAGGATGTATTACAAACATTGGGCCAACGTTGGGCCACCATACTACTGCCAACTTGATAAGACACTTTCTGTAAGGGTGTATTACAAGCATAGGGCCAACTTTGGGCCATCAAACCACTACCAACTTGATTTGACACATTCTTCACGGGTGTACTACAAACATCGGGCCAACGTTGGGCCAACATACAACTACCAATTTGAAAAGACACTTTCTTTACGGTTGCATTATATACGTTGGGCCAACGTCAGCATCCTTCTTTCCTTGGAAAGTAAAGTGAATGAAAGTTGCATACGTTCGACAAACGTTGGGCCAACATAGGAATTCTGTCATGGTCGAGAATGTTGACATGGTAGCATTGGTCCAACGTTGGCCCAACGTAGTTCCCCCAACTCCAACCATACAACCTTTTACCAGTGCTGGCCCAACATAGTCATGCTATCTGGGAATCTATTTTAAATTATATGTGTCTGCAAGGGATTTTCATTGATGTTACGGTGAAAACAAAAGATGTTAAATCAAAACGTCTTGATTCATGTATTAATTCGGGGTTGATGATAGTACGAGAATTGATATGAAAGTTACACTACAACTCCAGTTAAATCTTGAATGCTCAATAAAAGTTGACATTCCAATGTCTATCGCCATAACGGTGAGAATGCTCCAGTATGTGATGTTGTTTTGGTGCTTGTTTTTGAATTGGCACTCATTTTCATTTTAGCCGTGTACCATTTTTACATTTCACGTATTTTTTTAAGAAATGTTTTGCTTTCATTTTCCTCTAGCTATCAAATGCCTCATTTAAGTTAAAAGATGACATTTTTTTGAACTAATACAAATCAACTATATCTCTGTAATAATATACTGAAACGCAAAATCCTATCCATTCAATCAAAGCGCGTAATGCTCAAGACAGCCATGCAAAACAATTGCAGCTTAATATCTACTATGCAATAAGTTCAACGATCCATAGATTTGAGCGAAAGAAATACTTCAGTATTCTTTGGCATTAGTATAATAATTATGCCTGTTTTTCAGATGATTAGATCAAAATTTCTCTAACCTAATGCAATGAAGAAACACTTGGAAATCCGCTCCACGGTCTGCCATTTATACAATTGATAAGCATTAATCTATGGAGGCGTTTTTTAGTGAAGTTTTGTATTTTGTGAATTTTTAGATTTATTTAAATAAAGCAATGGAAAGACGTACTTAAGTCATCTGCAGGAGAGCGTCGCATCGCATCGGGAACCGGAAGAGATTTTTTTTTTGGGGGGGGGGGGGATATTGCTGCAATACTTATGACGAACAGATAAAAACTCTTAAAACCCTATATTTTTGCCAAGTACTTTGTCAAGCATGCAATTTTTTAATTCTGTTGAGCAGACTCAAACTTAACATCCGGTAATAGTATGAAATTCGTTCAACCATTAAATTACCGATATTTACAAAGTTGAAGATTTCCATAATCTCTATATACAAAATTAAATCAGGCCTATATGATTATATTAGTTCCCCCTAATATACGATGTTGCGTTTCCTTCTCGTTTCATAATAATAATTTGTGCAGTTATCACTGACACGAAGCTTTCATTTCGGTGTTATGTATCGATCCAATTACACATTTTTATCACCGGTAAATTTAACAGCCTTCTACTTTCTAACCTTGCCTACTGAAACGTTTAAATTGATATGTTTACTGTGTGCTTTTCAAATCTAAATATTCCTTCATTTCTGCAGACATTTGTTGAAAAAATTCAAAAATTGTTACGAAATTCTATTATACAAATCATTTAACTAACTTAGGAGAGATAAACTGGTTTGTTATATAAACCATGTTTCAAACCCCCAGAGGGGGTTCGCATAATCTCTAATCCTCAAAATGTTGAAACTTTTGTCTCTCGTCAGTTTCCTGTTTTATGGATCCTATGGACTCTTACTTGGTGACAAGGAACAACATCATATGATTGGCAATGCCTCTGGAATTGATGTTCTAGGTCGTATTGAAATGCTTGAAAAACAATTGGCGGAAGAAAAGCGAGATCGTTTCATTTTAGAACAGACCGTAAGGGATATTAACACCAAATTTCATGGCACTCTACTGAGCATTAATCAGATTGAATTGCAGCAAAGAGAATTTCAAAATAATGTTTCAAGAGACAATTTCGAAAGCCTGCAAAACGTCAACCAAACCATCAACAACATTACTGCCTTATTGCAAAGAACGATGTCGGACTTCTCCAGCCTTTCCTCTAAGTACAACCAAGAGGTACACGCTCTAAACAGCAATATTTCCAAGATGTCAGGATCAGGTATTTAAATTCTCTCTCTCTCTCTCTCTCTCTCTCTCTCTCTCTCTCTCTCTCTCTCTCTCTCTCTCATTTTTGCACATTCTTTACTAAATTTCTTTTTTTCTTTCAGTACAAGACTTGCAAAGACAGGTATCTTTCTTCGCAAAATTATCTAGCAGTGTCCGAATTTCAGCAGCTCACCAAACCGTCGTGTATGATACGGTTATTACAAATAACGATAATGGATACAACCCAAAGAATGGAATCTTCACTTGTCCTCAGTCTGGAACTTATGTGTTTTTGTGGAACACTCTGATTATGTATAGAACATATATCAGACTGGAGATCGTAGTGTCCGGAACAGCTTTATATGGTTTTTTGGAGGATACAGAAGATGCGAATGACTATGACACTGCAACTGCTTCTATAATTGTTAAAGTTGATGTTGGCGATACGGTGTTCATTCGTTCTCGAGGCAGCGGTCCTGGACCTATGGTCACCGAATCCAGTGTCATAACCTCCTCATTTTCTGGATACCGAATTTAAAGAATGATAACTCTGATAGCTAAAATTAAGTCTTTAACGATTAATTGTCTGTATTTTCATTGATGTCATGCGATATTGCATCGGATATCTATTACGTTGAGTTATGGTGTGCTTCTAAACTCCTTCTTTATTCGTTACAATAGTATACCTAGTCAAATTAAAATTGATGGACTCAAATATTAATCATATGTGGTGATGGTGGCCTTAATTAAATGAATATGTCATAAACATTTCTTGGATATCGAATCAAATATAGATGTTGACAATGATCGTTGAGGCATCGTGTGTTTCTTTACTTCTTCTGTATATTCGATAGTATCCCTTGTCAAATTAAAATTGTTAGACATATGTGGCGGTGGTGGTAGCTTTAATGAAATGATTACATCATAAACATTTTTTGAATACCGAATTGAATGTTTTTGTTGACAATGATTGCAGGTAAAAAAAAAAACCCTACAATTATTGTCGTAGAATCTGATCTTTAAAAAAATATTCTTCAATAAACCGTATAAGTGCACCTATGTCAGCACGGGTATTTCTGTTTCAAACTTTTAATTGACGTTTCCATAACAGCAAAAGATGTTGATCAAAACTTCTTGACTCATGTACTTTGTCGCAGTTGATGATAGTACGAGAGTTGATCTGAAAGTTATGTCGCAATAAACTTCTATAAAATCTTAAAATATGATCAATTGTTTCGAACTAAAGTTGACATGCCAATATCCCTATCTATTTTGACTTTTGTCTTAAAATGTCATTTGATTACATAAAATACGTTTAAATAATTAAGATTAAGCATTACACACCGCTATATTTTCGGCACTCATTTTCAAATTATCCGAATACCTTTAAAACCTCTTAAGATCTCTCTATCTGAAAAAAAAAATCCCTTTTCCCTATCCACTTCCTTATTTAAAATTGCCTAAACATTATTTCTAAATTTACCGTAGCTGTTTTCTTGACCAGCTTTATGTATAATATTTTTTACAGACTAAATTTGAGCGTAAATTGAGCGTAAATTTAGGGCAAAAGTCAAATCAATAGTCTGCTTATAGCACAAAATAAATTTCATGAAAACCATCGTTTATTAAAGATTTTATATCAGTTGTGACATTTACTAAGGATCACCGCTTGTATTAGGCTTAAACAATCCATGTGATGGTACAAATTATCGACAACAACAATATTACTACAACCCTTACTGTACATATTGTTGTTCATTCAGGTATATATTGACGTCGGCTGAAAAGTTTCATATGCACATTTGTCTCCGGCGTTTACTTAAAAGTTTCCTCAATGAATTAAAATGTAATTTAAATTTGACTAGAACTTTATTTGATCCAATTAATATAAACAAATACATGTATGCTTAAAAATCATAAAGATTATACGTTGTAAAAATTTTATTTAAAAGAATTGAAATCTTGAAAATTTTTGTCAGTTAGGACAAGAACCAATCTAGATTTGTTTTGAGTAATTAATTAAATCACATTTTATCACTTCTTTAAAAAATTTAATTCAGGATAATAGAGATTGTCTTAAGAGTTATCTTACTTTGCTAATGAATGTATATGTCTACTTATTTTGTGTTGATATGATAATTTTATTCCGAATATGCACCTCTTGTTTTTCAATGATAAAGAACACACAGAAAGCACTGAATGACACGATGACAAAAACATAATGAGTTGAATGAAGTCAAGCTGATGAAATTAAACTATTTCTTCTAAAAAGGATCGAAAATAATAGTATACTTGATGTCATGATAACATAAGGAAAATTTACATTTGAACAAATCCAATCTAACTTAAATTCGATTTTATTGAAGTTTTGTTTTCTATTCAAAAAGTTAATTTGATATTAAACACTGTAGTAAACGTAAATACTTCATTTTTAGTTACTTTACCTAATAAAATAATCGGATTTAAAAGGCCAAGATGAAAAGAATAAGATTTTTCTTTCTGATTTATAGCAATCATATGCCATCGTTTGATACAGACGATCGTAAATTTGACGTGGTTAAGGTCACCTTTCTGTAGATTTGTTTTATGTTATTTATTTGTCAATGCGCATTTTGACATAAGTGACAAGCTATTCGTATACAAGATGGTATTACTACGGTATCGCACCATGTTTGCCTTTTCCATGTTTACACAATTTCTTTGTCGTTTTTAAAAGTTAGAGAAGTGTTTTATCAACATCTAGCAAATATAAGACTTTGTCCTGACAATTGTGTACCGAATACAATAACATAAATATATGGAAGCAAATAACCCAACTCGAGTAACAATAAACATTGATAAAGGAATTAAAAAAAAAAATAATTTAAAAAAAAACAATAACAACCATATTTCGTTAAGATTCATAAATAACAAAAGTCAGCACACTAACTTCTTAGGAGATTGTGTATAAGCACGTGTCCTACGTCATCCTGTGACGTGTACCTTTATATCGCTTAGTCAGGCATTTTGCTCTGATTTTCAGAACATTCACATAACATGAAAGGACACTGAATGTCAACGTCCAATTTATCCACCATGTTAATTCTGTATGCATCAAAAAGTAAGTATTCTTATGGATTTTTAAACTTTTCTATTTATAAAAAAGAAAATTCTCTAAACAAATAATTTAAAAAGAAGAAATCATTTGAAAATCAAATTTGACTAAATCGTATCCTACATTTCTATTTCTGTTTCCAGCTTACTTGTATTAGTTGCTGTCAAATAAAACTTAAGTAGTGCGACAGTTTGCTAACAAAGTTCCAAAATGGAAAGTACAAAGAAACAGTGTGAACATGAATATGATACGCCAGTATGTGTGAAATGTATTTTGTCCAGCAATTGGAGAGATTCCCAGCTAGAACTTTTGTCGGACATTTGCGATTCACTTGGTGGCACAAAGAAAGAGAAAATACGCGCAGATCTGTTGGATTTAGAAGAAAATATTGGACCCAAGTATGACTCAAATCTCGGTGAAGTTGAAGCCTTGCTTTCCAAAATCATCAAACAACACAAAGATAGGAAGAATGTTATCTTAGAATTGGGGGACGAATTACATAAGGTTGTTGACCTTGTCATCAACAAATATCTGTCCGAAGCGGGAAAGATGGAAAAAGAAGACGTAGATTTTGTCCAGTCTATAAAATCGAAATTTAAGTTGTCAACATCAGAAATAAAAGCAGCAATAAAGGAGTGTCGTGAATTTCTAGCGACAGATAACAACAAAAAATTGGCAAAGTATAAATCGAAGAATAGCAAATTCAAGAATATGCCCACCAGATATGAGCTGTCGGTGAGTAGGTTTCAACCACATCACCTTACTGAAGAGAAATTGTGTCAGATAGTTGGATCTCTACAATCTTCTGTCAGGAAGGAAATAAAAGCTCCGGAAAACAATATTTCTGATGCGGAACCCAGCTTAATTCCAAGCCCAGACGTCCATAGTCCAGCTGAACCAATGTCAAAAGTGAGCAGTGAAAGATGCGAGCAAAAGAAATCAAAGGCAGATAGGCTATCAGAGCTTAATGATTTAATGGATTCCATTTCCCAGGCCACAAAAGATATGGCTCCGCTGGACACCAGCCCAAAGGTAACTAAAAAGCTTTCTATTCCTAAAGAATTCAACTCGAAAATCCCAACCAGTCAAAGGGGCCAAAAGGACATTCGCTCCAAAACTGCATTGGAGGTAGAGTGTCCTTTGGAATCCAAAACAAAGCCTTCGTTGAATTTGAATGGTCACGTCGAATCAAGTGCAGAGTCTCCAAATCGGCAGAGCAGCCCTTTGGTCTCTAGTGTTCAAGCAGCCACAGAACATAACGGCCATATGGAAGCGAAATCAGATCACAAATCTAAATCAGAGATAACTGTTTCTATTGAAAAGAGTCTAGAGATAGATATTCCTGCCGCATCGACTTTAAAACCATCTAAACCCCCAAATAGTGAGATGGATCCAAAAATCCAAATGGAGCAACGAAGCACTGGAGAATATTCAAAGGTTACAACAGAGCTAAATGTTCCTTTGAATTTCCAATCAAAAGCAACAGCAGAACTCGCCAAAGAGAGCCCTGTGAATTTACATTTGACAGAAAAATTAAACGATTTGACAAGTTTGAGTCCAAGTGGCAAAAAAGAGGTCAAAACTCCAGTAGAATCAAGCTCAGATGTAAAATCAGAACTCATGAGTTTTGCAGAATCTACATCAAATGCTACCAAAATGGCCAATATCCCGTCGGAAATAGAATCAAAACCAAGGGATGTGCCCGATGACTTTCTTGAAGCCAGTAGCAAATTTGCTAATGTACCTAAAGTTACAGATATTTTTGAAACAGGATATACATACACCTATAAGATTGCTTGTGCCAGGAGTACAAATCAAATTTTTATCTGTGGAAATAACAAAGTCATAAAACAGATGAACTCTGCGGGTAAATTTGTAGAGAAAACTTCCACTGATACTGGAAATCAACCCTTTGACCTGACGCTAACAAGAGACGCCCAACTTATCTTCAGTGACCACAATGGAAAATGCATCAACCTAGTGAAGAATAACGGTAGAATAGAGAGCTTGGTCAAACTACAAAAATGGTTTCCAATGGCCATTTGCAGCACATCCGTTGATGACCTGCTGGTTACCATGGAATCGCAGGATCTTGCCACATGCAAAGTAGTTCGTTATAGTGGATCCACGGTGAAACAAGAAATTCAGTACGACGTAAGAGGCGAGCAGTTGTACTGCAGAGCTGATTTCATCGATGAAAACAAGAATCTTGATGTTGTCGTATCTGACCTTGGGGCCAGACGTATCGTGGTGGTTGACAAGTATGGTATATTTAGGTTCAATTACACCGGGAATCTCCAGTCAGAGAGGTACAAAAGCTTTGGCTGCTCGGGCGTAACCACAGACACCAAAAGCAACATCATTGTTGCAGATGAATATAACGATGTGTTGCATGTTATTGATCAGAATGGACAATTTCTCATGTACATAGATAACTGTAAATTACAGCGACCAGGGGATCTCTGTACCGATAGTGATGATGTACTATACGTTACAGAACCTGTTGCCAACAAAGTGAAGAAAATCAAATTTTACAACTAAATGTGTGGAGAACAACATGTACATTAGCCAGAATATTGTGAAGTCAGAATTAACATTTTGTAAGAAAGTTCATGACGTTCGTGGAAGTGAACATTGTTAGAGGAGAAACTTGACAAGCGACAATTACGAATTAAGTAGAATGTTAATGAATCTAAAAAGAAAGTAAAACCACAATTGCTGTAAGATGTGAACTCAATGACACGCGTTGCTTGTCAAGCAAAATATAAATAGTAGAACCAGGAAATTTGGCAATGTCATCTGCAATGTCGCGACGATAACACATTTTCATATTTCCATTGGTTCTTAGATATTTTCTTATCTATTTTACAGTCGCTTTTCATTCATTATAACATAACCAGATTTATCGGAAAGACGATCCTGGTGCTTTTTTTCGATCTTGTCTTGAAAATATTAGGAATCAGATATGTAAAGGAAAAGCTATCAACTAATATGATAACGTGCATAATTAAAGTCCATGTCTTAGCAAAAAAAAGTATTGGCCATTTTTAAAGGATAAGTGTATTTTGTTGCGTTTTTGGTATGTTGAAATACATGTATTATTCCAGTACTTCCATATGTCAATTATCAATGTTCGTTTCATTGTAATAATGAATAGGACACTTTTTGCAATGTTTTCATGTATCATTGCATGCATTATGTTTAAATGCTGTGTTTCTTGTAGCCAGAGAAAGGAAATTATTTTTTTTAAAAACACACATTAAAAAACAGCATTCATCACTGTCATGTATTTAGTTTTGATAATGAGATTTTGCTTTGAGCGGTCCAATAAAGTTTAACAGAAAGTTTATAGTGATTGGTATTAAAACTTATAATGGTTATATTTAATGCTCGATTTGTCAATAAACAGTATCCCTCTTGGATAATAGATATTGCTCCAACAGGAACCCGTAAAGTTAATGTGGTGAAGTACGATTCTATGAATAACATATAAAAAGTGCATCTTGAAACATCAGTTTAAAAAATCCCTAAGTAATACCTCCCTCATTAATAACAAAACAAGGCTTTGTAATTTCAAATTCAATATAGACCGTTTCATTTGATTACCAGCAAAATTCAGCAGTGCTGGTTATCAACGGAAAAAGTTAATAAATATCCTTACAGGTTTAATAATAAAAATTACGGTTTTCAATGTGAAAAAAAATGTGACAGTGGATGAAATATTTTAATACAGTATTATGTTTTATATGAAATATGGAGATAAAGAACAGTATTCAAGGTCGAAGTCCATTTTAATAATACAAATCGGGAACAGAGCAAAGATTGATAATTAATTAAGATTCCCTTAATTATACAAGTCTACTTAATTACATAGAATCACCAAAAAATGTCAGGTGTTTTTTTTTTTTTTGAATAACAGACGGAGAAAGGCAAAACGAACGTCAACGGAAAATACATAAAGAAAGCTATAATTAAAACCATAAAAACATTAAATTGTGACATTGAAATGAAAATAAATCATGGTTGAATCGAATATTGACAATTATTTTTTAAAGTATAATAAAAAAAAATTGAAATAGTTTCCTTATCTCCATGTTTCTATTTTCGACAAATCAATACCAATGACTAAGTAATATAAATTATATCATCAGGAGCACACCAAGTGTATATGCCATAAATCAAACTCTTTTTGCTAGCACTTGACGCATCTCCATAATCAAGCATATAAAAAGTTCGCGGTAATTTATGGAACCTTAAAGTTACTACTAACATAACATTTCCAAATTGCAATAGTATGAGTTCTAAACGTCTAAAAATGAAAGATACTACATCTTGTTTGCATTTTAGGAACTTATGGTACTACTTATGTTTGTACTCAATAGGTTATCTTTGCATGGAAAAACTACACATATTCCAGAAACGTTCAAATTAATCAACCATAGGAAAGCTCTAGATCTGAAAGGGCTCTCAGAAAAATCATACAAAAAAAACTAATATAACTTTGAGGTCATGAACATCTTTTTCCATGGCAGCATCTGAAAAATGATTAGGCTTAATCTATATGTAAATGGTATTGACAAAAGGGTAAAAAAAAAGTTAACAATTGAAGTAACCAATGCACAAATCCAATCAAGTATCTAAAAGTTATTATCTGTACATTCCTCTTTGCCAATCCATCATCTAACTGAGGAATCAGAATCAATATATCATGAGCAAACAAATTTGTAAAAATTAACTATGTAAAAATCATGCGGCTATAATTTCGTTTGTATCTATATATATATATATATATATATATATATATATATATATATATATATATATATATATATATATATATATATATATATATATATATATATATATATATATATATATATATACACACACACACAAAAGAACCCATACATTTACAAAAAAAATGTTCGTAAGGATGTGAATTAATAAGGATGACATACATGTACGAAATCCTATCAAACAGTGGTCCCCATATGCATAATTCTGATTTTTTTTTTTTTTTTTTTTTTTTTTTGGACAAGAAAAAATCCTACCTATTTCAGTTTTGTATTGTCGTGTACAAACTTCTCGGTAAAAAAAAACACCTTACAGTAGTGTAGGATCTACATTGTACCGGGAAAAACTTGAAAATGGGAAGATTTCGATTATTTCTTTGAAATTTTGTAACTTATGATTCTGTATACTTGTATTTCTGTAATCGATAGCTTTTTTCTAAAAAGGCAGGACAGAAATTTTAATCTTTTTATATGCCTTTCTCTATAACCATCCAATATTGGAACTTAATTCAGAAATCTCGGAGAGGAGAATTAACTCTACAAAGAAACTTTACCAGAAGAAAAACAAACAAACAGTAGATCTCTGAAGTCAGGGACATATATGTAATGACAGCATCTGACAACTGGTCAGGCAAAATCTATCAAAATGATATAAAAGACTCCAAGGTGACATAAATGATAACTTTTTAGCCATACAACAGCGTACACGGAAAATCTTGATTTGAACAGATACAAAAAGTGTTCGAGATAAAACAGTAAATCTAGTTTCTATGAAATTAAAGTAAAAGAAAATATTTTTGTATTTTTAAAACCCTGAACATGGTCTCTTTTAATACTTCAGTTCTTTTTCATCTCTACTTTAGGTAAAAATGGAGTGAAACGCTCTCTTTTTCGTCGCAAGACAATCCTGTGACAAATACATATATAAAGATGATTTGTACAATCAAATTGGATTTTTCAAATCAGTATACTAGTATATAGATATTATCCAAACTAAACTGGATTCATAAGTTTCGTGAAAATTAGTACAGAAATATATTGCAGTCCAGAAAATGCTCTCCCAACCATTTTAAGCTCACGTGAGCTGAAGGCTCAAGTGAGCTTTTCTGATCACATTTTGTCCGGCGTCCGTCCGTCTAGCTGTCCGTCTGTCTGTAAACTTTTCACATTTACATCTCCTTCTCAAGATCCACTGGGCCAATTTCAACCAAACTTGTCAAAAAGTATCCTCGGATAAAGGGGATTCAAGATCGTTAAAATGAAGGGCCACACTCATTTCCAAGGAGAGATAATTAAAAATTAGTGAAAAATTAATGACATCTTTTAAAAATCTTCTCAAGAACCACTGGGCCAGGAGGGATGACACTTACATGTATATGGAAACATCCTCAGGTAGTGTACAATCAAGGTCGTCAAAATCATGACCGCCACAGAAATATCAAGGAAAAACGTTTTATCACTCATACTTCCCTTTCTACGGAAGAAATTCTTAAAAATCAGATGTCAGTTTTAAATATTTTTAATATTCCACAGAGCCAAAATGAATTTGAATTTTGCTTTATATACTGGATTCCGAAACTTCATAAAAATCCCTACAAACAAAGATACATTGCGGGTTCCAGTAAATGTTCAACCAAGTCTCTTTCGTTACTCTTCACCAAGATCTTGACAGTAGTGAAGGAAAAACTGCAAGAGTACTGTGCAACAATATATTCAAGAAGTGGTGTGAATCAGATGTGGATACAAAAAAAAAATTCTAAAGAACTTTTGGACAATTTGAAATTACAAGATGTTACCAAAATAAACAGCTTAAAACATATGACTTTTCAACTTTATACATAACCATTCCCCATGATAAATTAAGCTCCAGGCTTTTTGATATCATTAACAGCTGCTTTTTTGGTAAAAATGAAACTCGTAAATTTACTTACCTAGTCATTGGTCATTTGCAAAATTGCTTTCTTAAAGCACATTCTAATTGCACAAACGAGTACTCTGAAGTTGACATCAAAGAGATGCATGAGTTTCTGATTGACAATATCTATGTGGTTTTTGGAGACCAAGTATTCCAACAATCTATTGGAATTCCCATAGTTACCAATTGCGCTCCGTTATTAGCAGACCTAATTTTGTATTCATCTGAAACATAATTTGTGCACAATCTTATGCGTGAAAAGAAGAAAACACTTGCTGTGGCCTTCTACTCGATATTTAGTCATATCGACGACGTATTGTCAATTAACAATGGTAATTTCCATTCCTACGTCGATACGATATATCCTGGTGAGCTTGAGATAAAAGATACCACAGCGTCTTACACATCTGTTTCATACTTGGATATTTTACTTGAAAAGACGTTAATGGTAATCTAACAACCAAACTACATGTATATGATAAACGTGATGACTTTAACATTTCTATCGTCAGCTTCCCTTACTTATGCAGCAATATTCATCTTCTGCATACGGAGTGTATATATCTCAGTTGATTCGATACGCAAGAGCATGCTATGCGTATGAACAATATCTAAAATGAGGTAAATTATTGCCAAGCAAGTTGATGAAACAAGAATATCAGCAGTTTCGTTTAAAGTCGTCATTTTCTAAGTTCTATGGTCGATACAATGACCTTGTCAGCAATACAATTTATCATTGAGTCAAATGCTGACTGGCGTTTTTCATACTAATTGTTAGTCCATTATTAATACACTGAATTGACGACGGATTTTTTCCCGTTATTTCCTGATCATGACAAGGAGCACACGGCGGGTGTGACTGCATGGTCAGCAGGGGATGCTAGCTCCTCCATGGCACCTGATCCCACCTCTGATGTTTCGGAGGTCCGTGTTTGCTCTGCACCTATTTTGTATTGTTTTATGGACTTTCATATTGAATATTTTTCGTTATCTCCAATATTCGGAATTCCAATAGATTGTTGGAAGACCTGGTCTCCAAAAACAACAGAGACATAGACAATATCCTCTAGCATCCTTTTGATGTCAACTTCAGAGTACTTGTGTACACAATCAGAATGTTTTAACAAAATAATTTTGCAAATGACCAATGACAAGGTAAGAAATTTACGAGTTCCATTTTTATTGAAAAGCAGCTGCCAATTATATCAAAAGGCCTGGACTTTATTTTACCGTGGGGAATGGTTGTGTATAAGGTTGAAAATTCTTAAGTTTTTAAGCTTTTGATTTTGGTTAAATCTTACGACTTCAAATTGTCCTAAAGTTCCTTAAATTCTTTAAGTATCCACATCTGATTTACACCACTTCTTGAATATACTGTTGCACAGTACTCTTGAAGTTACTCCGTCCTACTGTCAATATCTTAATGAGGAGTAAAGAAAGAGGTTTAATTGAATATTTACTGGAACCTGCTACATGTATGTATCTTGGTTTGTATGTATTCTTAAACCCCCGTCACATTTCCAAAAACGACCAACGGCCGACGGGTTTTGGAGCAAAAACGGGATTCTTCGGATGACAGTCGTCAGTTCATCGGCCGTTGTCTTGGACGATTTTGACCTCTTTTTTTGTCGGCCGACTAATTTTGTGTCCATCGGTCCAAGTTATAATTTTTCCTGCGTCGGTGGCCGATTTCCTCAGTTGAAGTTATCCGTCGACCGACCTTCGATCATCGTCCGACCTTCGGCGGTCAGTTTATTAAGTCGGTCGTCCGTCGTTAGGCAATAAGGGTGTTTAAAATTTCGGCCGACGGTTAAAATCAAACTGTAGCTCAGAGCTAGATGATCCGGTGACGATTGGCCGACTTATGAATATCTAACCTATTAGGGATACATAACACAAACAAAATTTTGATTCATGGATTGATATATGTTTTATGAACGGAAATAACATAAATAATTAATCCGTAAGATATGAAGAAATCTAAGCAGGGAAGAATACTTCCCTGCTTAGATATGCACCATTTGTCGTTTTTATGCCATTCCATACAAAATTTTGCACACATTTTCAACATTGAGTCACAATTTTATAAGATTCTGCCACTTTGCCTTGCAAACATTACTCACATCACCTATCTGAATATAGATCTTTGAAAAAAATATTGCTGATTTCTAGAGAAAAAGATTTTTTGTTTTATCTATGCAAGTCATCGGTGTCCCAAGGAAATAATGTGACTGCTCCGCGTCGCCCGATACTGAGTCGGCCGATCCTGTTCTTTCAGCCGACAAGACCAAAAAAATTTTGTCGTCCGACCATCGGCTTAAATGTGACCTAGGCATTATAAAGTTACGGAATACAATATTTATGTGGTAGTTCAAATTCATTTTGATTCTTTGGAATATTAAAGATATTCAAAACTGACATGATTTTTAAAAATTTCTTCCTTAGAAAGGGAATTATGAGTATATGTTGGATTACCATTGTAGAATTAAATCTAAGTTCTAAAATTATACAATTTTTATGATGAGCCTTACAAACAAAGACTGTGTTGTTACCTGCATTTTCAGCAGGGACCAGTACATACTGATCATGTAATCTATCTAATTCTTTCTTAACTTCTGGATTATTGAATACAGAAGGATAGATGGTTTTCATATTGCCCATCAATCTTTTAATACGCGATTTTAACACGGATCTGATACATTTAATCCATTTTAACAAAGTGTTAACGTCTTTCATATTTGGCCCATAGTCTGGTGTAATCGTCAATAGAATCCATAATATTTATGAAATTCCGAATTATTTTAATTATGAAATTTCGGTGAGCTTGCCTAGCATTAGAAGACATAAAAGTTTTCTGAAGTTGATATCAAAAGGATGCCGTTTTTTGTCATTGACAACATTAATACATTCTTTGGCTTTTAAAGAAATGTTTGAATTCCGATGGGCACTAATTGTTCTTCTTAATCAATTATCCGACCTGTTTTTATATTCTTATGAAGCAGAACTTTTTCAGAAACTTTTACATGAGAAGAAAACACTTTCTATGGCCTTCAACTTGACATTTTAAAAAAAAAATCGACAACATATTATCAATAATCAATGGTTACTTCCAGTTACTTCCATTTATATGCCAACTATATATCCCAGTAAAAAAACACCAGAGGATCTGCTTTATTTGTTTCATATTAGGATGTTTACTAGATTAATAGAGCCAATGAACAACTAAATTTTATGATAAATGCAATGACTTCGGCATTTCCATAGGCAACATTTCTTATTCATGACATTGTACTATAGCAATATCCTTTTATCACCTGCATATTAGGTATTTACATCTCCCAACTTATTTAATACTCAAGAGAAATTCTTTGAGTAGAATCAATTATTACAGCTACATATACTACTGACAGATAAGTTAATGCTACAGGAATTTTAACAACTTTGTTTAAAATCAGCACTACATAAAGTTATAGTCGTTAAAATGACTTATTTTATCAAAAACATTTGTATAATCTACCACTGGGTCATATTTTGGCACAAATATTTTCTTTTAAAATAAACATTAAATCTACAAAACGATTTATTTATTTAAGGAATGACTCTAAATCTTGGCCAAATTATCAAGTATAATATGGTTTGGGTCAGTTTACGCTTTATAATCCGCGAAGCGGATTATAAAAAAGCGTAAACTGACCCAAACCAGATTATACTCGATAATTTGGCCAAGAATTAGAGTCATTCCTTATGATTTAATTTTGAAATAATTAAACAACTTTGGATGTAAAATTATGTTGCTTTTTACGAGTTCAAATTTACCGCGCAATAATACAACCGTAGTAACGGAAGTGATGTGAAGCGAGGGGAGGTAATAACTGATACATAGATCTAGCAGCCATGATGTGTGTTCACATGAGGTAAGATCGAGTAATTGTTTGAAGTTAAAGATACAGTTATTAAATCCTGAATTTTCCATGGATTCTGAGGACTGGAAATGAGGGGATTGCATGGATAACATGATTAAGCTGGTCGTCAAGGGGGTGTGTCCCCATACCAAACCAGATTATACAAAATGTTTTGCGTTCTTTTTTGGAAATCAACCAATGAGAGGCGAGAATATAAACAAAATTAAATTATTCATTTTTAAAACATATCAAGATAAATGTATTTTGAAACATGTTACAGACAGTACACAGCTATAATTATCTGTTTTGCTTGGCTAAAGAGGATCAAGATAAATGAATATATATTTTTTAAACATTTAATAAACTTTGTACAATCAACACATTCTTTTTTAAAGAAATCATAAACAATCATGTTATATAATAATAATAATAATGTCAATAAGATCAAAACAAAATGTTTTACGCTTTTATATTCAGACAAAGAAAAAAAATGTCAATTAACCATAGATAAGGCACTGTAGAGAAATGAAGAAAAAAAAATATTTAAAAAATAAACACTTTTCACATTCTTGGAATAAAGATTTAAAGATTTAAACAAGTTCAATTTCATTCAAATGCATTGTGTATAAAAAAATAAACTAACTAGAGGTACTGTGAGCGATGAGCTCACTAAATGATACCCCCCGCCTCCCATATGGTTATAACTGGTGAAAAAGTCCATGTTTTCCTATGGCCGGGAAACCCAAAATATGTGTCGGATCAAAAAGTAAAATAGGAGGTGCACAATGGCAATATGTAATAAAGATTCTGTGAAAGTTTCATCAAATTTCATTCAGTGGTATGAGAGGAGTTGCGGATAAGAGATGGGTACCCCAAAGCGTAACAGACGGAAGGACAGACGGACGGACGGACGTACAGACAGACGGACGGACGGACAGACGGAATTAACGATTACTATATACCCTCCCGCTTTTCAAGCGGGGGGTATAAATATTATTATGGTCAGTCATGATAGTGATGCATCATATGCTGGAAAAAAAAGTCTTGTAGGGCCAGTTTGTTTCCCATTAAAGGATATTTTAAGACTCAGATAAAAAGATATACATTTATATGATGAGCATTTTGGTAACAAAAGCATTTTAGTAAATGAAAAATCACGTTGCTATTTTCATAAACCTTAAAAAGTTAGAAATTGAATATGAACCTTCAGGTTAAATGTTACGATGGGTATAGTGCTGGTATACACTGACATGTAATATTTTAGTAATCTTTCAGTAAAGCACTCATGTGTAATGTCAATAATAAGAAATCTGTTGAGAGACCAAGAACCTCTGGTAAAGTATGAGCTACCAACTAAAAAAAACAACAAATTTTTACTATTAACAGGCTTATATATGCCAGGAGAGCATCCATCAAAAGGCGGGCTTTTGTATTTGTACTGCTAAGTGTTTTAAACATAGACCCATAGAAAAGTGTAAAATGTTTTAACTTAAAAAAGGGATTTTGAAAGGATCATACAAGCAGGTTAAAATGACAACTGGTCACACAATATGCCCATTTTAAAAAATTGTGAAAAATAGATAAAAAATGAAATTAGAATTGATCAATATACCACATTGACATTTATCATTAATTCATGAATCTATATATTGTATCTATTAGCACCAAGACAGAAATATTTGGCTTTTCAAACTAGATGTTTATGTATCACACCCAGTCTCTGGGCTGTTTTAGTACTTTGATCATCTTCTCCTCAGTGGAATTAGGAGCGGGTTCATGTCTATATTCCCAGTTCTACAAAACAAGTAATAACCCATAAATAACAAATTAATATGGAGATAAAAACTGATCACACAAATCTGTACATGTACAATCACAACAATGGGTCTATTTTGCTTTATTGTTTCTTATTTCTCATTTTACTTACGTTTGTTTATTTTCTATCTTAATGTATCAATTTTCTTTCTTTCGGTAATTTACAGTATTAGTCAAAACAAAGCGAAAACATGGGTCACTGAATACACAAGAGGTGGAGGCAGGTGTCGTCTTACAGCTCTGCTATTACCTGCTTATGGTGTTTGTGTTTACCAACTTATTCGCTATTCAAGAGCTTTCTCTGAGTACACTTGATTTTTAAAGCTGAGTATGCTACTCACTTATAAGTTAATGCTACAGGGTTTCAAAACACTTATTTAAAGTCATCATTTTGCAAAATCTAGAGTGGCTAAAATGACCTTTTTGGCAAGTATAACCTATCATTGGGTTGTATTTGCATTTGGGCTCTTTTGTTTTATGTTAGGCCTTTGTTTTTATACTGAATTTGACTACGGAAAATTCCATCTACCTGGTCCGAGTTCACATTGTGTATGACCTGTCAATAGGGAATGCTTAACCCCGAGGTTCCTATGTTATAACTTGCACACCTTGAAACTACCTGTATCTTTTCATTTAAGTATAATGCTTGTTGCTGAAGATTTACATGAAGTTTCTTAAAAAGTTTGGAGTCCCCCCAAATCAAAAGACAATCAATAGATTGACCTGTAGCCACTCCAGAACTGATCCCTCCTTGAGAGAAACATAATAATTTTGAATAAAATGCCACAAGGTTCCAGCATTTGATAAACTATTTTCGCCTCATCACACTTACTGCTGTGTTGGGTAGGGACATTAGAATACTCTCATATCTAGCCCCTGGAGTCTGCAGACCAAACTTTGTCCCTCTGTCATAGATCAGGTTAAATTCAACATATCGACCTCTCCTTAAAAGCTGCCATCTTCTACAAATGAAAGAAAAGCTAATGTACTGTTTATTCTTTGTTGATAATAAATTAATAAACTAATATTCCATTTTGCTGAATGTGATGTCTGAAAGTAAACGCATATATACACAGACATCGTAAACATACAGTATATTTAAGTTAAAATTCCTGTCCAAACATATAATTACACTTTTTCTAAAAAACCATATGTTCCACCATTATTTTTTAAAAGAGGTGTTTCAACGATTAAATATTAATACTGTAATGTAATCAAAAAGGGGCTTTTTAATTGGAAGAAGATAGGATTAAAGAAGACAGATGTTTTCATGAAGGAAAGAAACTGCTTGGCAAAGAGAAATGTGGTGGTTGAAATAGGTTAATGTGAAGATTCTCAATGTTATACCTTTCTCGATGAGAGTAGCCATCATTTTTGTGTTTTTCTACAATAGGAATGTATGATGGTAAAACGGCATCAGCACACGTCTGTAACAAGAGAGGTAATTCTGTTTATAAATATTGTTTTAAATTCTGGAAACTCCTTTTTCTTTATAAAATGAACACTAAGTTTTGCATACTTGTAAAAAGGAATTTGACTGTTTATGCATTTGATTCCTTATTTAGTGCATCAGAAAATTATTTATTGAAACACCCATCTAAAAGCAATTTTTTTCTTTATTTTCATTCTTATTAATGTAATGACAATCACATAATGTACCTGTACAAATTCATACATATCACTTTGAGGTTCATTGTCTAAATCATCAAAGAAAATTCCCCCTATTCCTCGCGTTTCACCTACAATATAAACATTAAAAATTCAATTCACAAAACAGAATGGTATCAGTGTAATATTGTCAAAGCCAGATTACTTTAGACATGTGGAAAGAAAATATTTACCTCTATGAGGAAGATAGAAATATTCATCACACCACTTCTTAAACTTAGGATAAAATGTTTTATTGTGTTTGTCACAAGCGTCTTTTAGTGTTTTATGAAAATGTACAGCATCCTGAAGACAAATAAAATACATTGCAATTAAATTCCTCAGTAACAATATTTCTAATAAAACATATTTTCCTACTTAAAAATTGTTTTAACTGTGCATTACGTTTCCCTGATAATTTAAATTAACTTTCATATTTCATATAGCCGTCTTATTGCAGAAAGTCACAAAAATGACCAGAATACAAATTATAGATACATGTATTATTATTAACAATACTAGCATTCAAAAAGTAAGCTGTTATATATACATTAAGAGTAAGAATCTAGCAGAGCAGATCTTTATCAGGGTTTCCTTTGTGAAGGAAAAGACAATTAAGACCTAAATGTAATTGTGCAATAACTTTCTTCTTTATAAGTATTCCATTATGAAAGATAATTTTATTCAAGCAATATCTAACTATATAGAATACCGTATAAGTGGAAATTTTAGCGAGTATTTAATTTTGGCATTAGCGAGGATGCTGAGATCGCTAAAATTGAATATTGCTAAAAATTATTTGCCTGTTATTTGCAAAAGCTTCTTCAGTGACCCTTTTCAAATCGCTAAAATTGAATATCGCTAAAAATAAAATACCAGTTTTTAAGGAGAAATTGCTAAATTTGCATCTCACTAAAATTTCCACTTATACAGTAATTAATTTTCAATGATATTACTACAGTTGACAGCTTTTCGATCCAAATCTTGACCTCTTACTTTGTAAACTGGACCCAAATTGATATTTTACAAACAGAATACTCTTATGAACTTATACATAAAAATACTGAGGATGTTCCATGAAAGCATTTTGAGTGTAATATAACAAACCTTTTCAAAGAGATAATTTGGTGTTAGATCTGTTCCTCCCCCAAACCACCAGTGGACTTTTCCTTTCTCATCCACCACCTCAAAGTACCGATAATTAAAGTGGATCGCAGGCACATAGGGATTTCTCTGGAATTCAGAAGTACACATATCTCAAATTTTCAAGTTTAATGCAAAAATACATAGAGCATGCGTGCATGCATTTCTTTACTCTGTTTATGCTCTGTGTATATATCAATGAAGTTTGGTGCATATTTATTATTACAAGAAGTCAAGAAGTAAAGTAGCTGTTACAGTTGTAAAAAGTACAGGGTGTAAACTTTCTGTGGTATAAAACATATGAAACTTACAGGGTGTATGACACAGCTGACTCCGGTGGCAAAGAAGGGTAATGTCTTGCCCTCTAAAGCTCTGCCTCTACAACAGAACAACAGAAATACTTGTTTCAAAGATTCAACTAATCAACAACTAGAACTTACAACAATACAGTTATACTAAATAAACAGAAGGAAACTAACCTGGCTTTCATTTGAGCGACGGCTGGAGGGGGTAGGTTTCCATGCACCACAGAGATGTTGACTCCTGCCTTCTCAAAAACGAGGCCATCCTTCATAACACAAGTGATTCCACCCCCTCCCTAAACAAATATAACAAATCACTGTAAAATCACATATTTTCGTAGGGTCAATTTTTCAAGATTTGTGGAGAAAATATTAGTTTGTGGGGATTTGATTTTCACGGCTGGAGAATGTTTAGTGGTAATGCATATGAAATTTTAAATTTTGTGGTAGACATCAATTTGTGGGTCTCAATCTTCATACCTTGAAAACAACAAAAAATTAACCTCCCATGAAAATAAATTAGTTTTTTCACAGTATGTTTTATACATATTGTAATTTATTATTTTCAGGAAAATTCATTCATATTCATAAAGAACTCCCTAGTCATATTCATCCTCATTTGAACTTTCAGGATGTTAAATTCAATTGAATTCTTCTCTCATAATATTTAATATGTGGGGCTTATTTGACTTAATCTTTTAATTAAATTCAATGAAAAGATTCTGGATTACTACTTGGTTGCACCTTCATTATTACCCCTCTCCTTTACTTTTTTTCCCAAATTTCACAACTCCTTGATAATATATGTTAAATAATTTACATTTCAGTGAAATTGTCATAGAATTTCTGACCTTTTAAGACATTGAAATCCCTGACCCCAAAGTTTCATTTTTACTAAGGTAAGCATTAACAATCAGTTCGTCCATTACCTCTGCTCTTGTCCATCTGTCAACAAAAAATTTCTGGTTGCCATCAATCTCTTCCAGTTTTCTGCAAACTTCTGACTAAATAAACAAATTTGATTTAAAAAAGTAAAATGCAACTCAGAAGTACACGAAGAATATACATGTGTATTCAATTAACATAGAGATGAAAAAGAACTAAGGTTTTTTTTTTTTAACAAGGAAACAGGTCTGGAATTTTTCTTTATCAAAAATACCTGAATTCTCATCACCATGGCTTCCATTTTATATTTCATTTCTGAACTCCTCTGAAATGAGAAACAAAAATCTTTTAAAATCTGATGGTACTTTATATACAAAATCATTAAATGTTATAACAGTTTTATCAAAGAAAAGCTGTTGTCTTGCTGAGGTATAAATTCTAAAATATCCCCATATTCTTCTAGGATGGAACAAGTATATAGTCCTTTTTGTGCAACTAATAAATCTACACACATATTGTGTAACATACTTTGAATGTCATTTTATGGTCTACCTTCTGCATTGTAGAATTTGATTTAATTAATAGATATAAAAGCAGGTAAATAAAATCAATTAAAAGATATATTTAAAACATTTACAAAAATTTCTGGCATGAAGTGTATTGGCCTAGACCATGCAGTCTTAAAAAACATACCTCTTCTAGAAGTGTCTTGTCTGTAATTGGTTCAGCCATCCATTTTGATAAATCAAGTTTCCTTCCACTGTTTGCAAGTACCTGAAATTAATTTTCATTTTCAATGTAATTTTCTAAATCTACATATCTGTCTCTTGTTCAACACTTTATCTCTGGACAATTCAAATAATACACATGCAGTGAAGCATTTTCATAGAAGATATTGTTTATAAATGATGAATTTTTATCAAGTCTGAAGCAAAGATCTGAGGAAGCAAATTATATCAAATATTGGTTTAATTAGTATTGTACACATGTACATTTAGTAACAATCAAATCTGTTATCCAACTTGGTTAATCTAAGAAATCAGCTTCAGAAACCTTGAACTCACTGTATTGCTGTTGCTATGGTAACATATGATTGACACTCCAGCAACTCCAACTGACACAGCCCCACATGACCTGTAACAGGCAAATTAATACAAAATGAAAATTAATTAAAACAAATTTTTTATCTACTGGAGGATTTAATCTCTTTATGCTATTTGTGATTTTAAACAAGAGCAAATGCTCGTGAACATTTCTGTTGGTGGTACATGTATAAGGAATTTTGGTGAGCGCTCGTAAGTGCTTGCGAATGTTCACTCTGTTGAACAGGCCTCTGATCTCATAGTATTATAATTACTAGCTCAGAACTGTGCATCTAGCTCTCTGAAGGAAATAAAACATAACAGAGGGTTACAGATTCACTCACTGAAAAAAAAAACTTTGATTTAAGGCATTTTTTGTTCACATTTCCTCGTTTTATTTACTTGTATACCTTTCAACAGTAATGGTGGTTGCTAAGTATAAAGAGCAAAATTAATGCTTAGTGGTAAGATTTATTCCCCTTTACTGTCAGACATTAGGATTGAAAACATGATATTCCAAGACCACAGTACAGGGCTGGCTGGACCAAAACTGTTGTCATGTAAATGTGTTTAAAGTAACAACCATCGAGGAAGATATTGCAATGAATAACACTTTTAAGTCTGAACGAAATTTTTTTTTCTAAATCAGAGGTCTCTTTCTTTCTGTTTGTCTGCCAGTGTGTGTTCTATACGTGTTTGTCTTTGAGGGTATGTGTGTATTTGTGTGATATTACCAGATGAACAATTTTCTATGGCTCTGCTTCAATATGGACTTTGTACTGCAGCTGTAGGCTGTTCTCACTCTTGTCAAAGCTGTACGAAGGAGTTTCATTTTTGTTTATTCTGCGTCATTCTGCAAAAGAAATAATTCACCAGATGAAAATACAAAGAATCATATTTTTATTAACTTCAAATACATGACATATCAAAAATACAATTATCTATGGAGTGAACACTCTAAGGGAAATAACTCCTCTGCGAGACATACATAGGGATCAGAACATTTTATTTTCATTTAACATATGTAATGGTTGAGGCCATGGACTTGAATAGCTCAGTTAGTACATGAAGTACACTTGACTAGTGATGCAAGGAATTCTGGTTTGATCCCCAGTCCAGCCATACATTTTCTCCTTTCCTTTCCTGTTACAGATTTGGTGCCATTGACCACCCCTGGACTTGCAGGTGAAAATCCTGCCGGGGGGCAATAAGAAAATTAAGGTTGTGTCTTATAGGGCTTAGACATTTTGTGGAAGAATGAATGTAAGGGTATGGGCTATGGAACAGCCAGGGTAGCTCTGGTTTGAGTACCTGAGTCAAAGTTAGTGATGCGAGGGTCCCAGGTTCAATTCCCAGTCCATCCATATCTTATTTTTATTTTATCCTTCCTCCTAAAATTTTCACTGCTATGAAATCTCACTAAAGAAAAATTGGAAGTTTTGTCTGAAATTTCTAAGTTGATAATAAAAATTAAATAAAAAAAAGAAAGATCATATCAAGCACAATCAGGATAACTTAATTTCTATCTCAGACACAGAGAAAATGGGAAAGATGAGACCATGCAGGATTAAAACAAGGACCACTCAAATACATTTAAGTACAACATATTAAATATAAGTCTTTTCAGGGACCCCTTATAATATCTAAAAAAAAAAAACCAACAACTTTTCGACAACAGTTGATCCACTGACTTTATACTTCCCTGCCACAGCAGTTGAACCTTGAAGTACTTCTAATGTCCTTTTTTAAAAATAAAACCTTTAAATGTCAGTTATTTTAGTTATTTCTGGAAAAACCAGTTAGACAGTACTAAACAGGTACATTTACCAGTAAACATAAATCATTGGGTACTTTTGCACTATGGCCATTAAGTGATCATTCTCCCATCAAATGGACATAGTGTTTTCATATTGAAAGTACAAGTACCTACTAATTATTTGGTATTTGAATTTCAGTAATATACTTATGTTTTGTCTTTTGGTCGTCTAAGGACGACTGAGTGAGTGAGCGAGTCTTATGTTTGTACTTTTATAAATATAAAGTTATGATTATCCCTTAGAATATATTCTGATTGGCTCCCTTGCATGTCATATGCAGGGGAGACAATTTGTGATATCTTATTCATGTACAGGCGGCTCTTCAGATGTCAGGGAGACAATATTTGATATCTTATTCATGTACAGGGTGACAAATGTCTTGTTTTCCTTCAGATGTCAGGGAGACAATTTGTGATATCTCATTCATGTACAGGGTGACACATGCCTTGTTTCCCTTCAGATGGCAGGAAGACAATCTGTGATATCTCATGTACAGGGTGACACATGCCTTGTTTCCCTTCAGATGGCAGGAAGACAATCTTTGATATCTCATGTACAGGGTGACACATGTCTTGTTTCCCTTCAGATATCAGGGAGACAATTTGTGATATCTCATTCATGTACAGGGTGACACATGTCTTGTTTCCCTTTAGATATCAGGGAGACAATTTTTGATATCTTATTAAAGTACAGGGTGACACATTTCTTGTTTCCCTTCAGATATCAGGGAGACAATTTATGATACCTCATTCATGTACAGGGTGGGAGCTGTGTTGCTTCGCTCAAGATGACAATGAAATAGTGCAAGCAAGTGGACATGCAACAACTGTGTTGTCTCCCTTTAGATAAAAAAAATTAAATGTCAAAAGCTAGACTGTGCCCAATCAGTTAATACTGTAGAAGTACTTTTTTTCCACGTGATACCATGCTATTAATTTTCGCTATGTACGTGGTCACACATTTTCTGACGAAATTTGTCCAAGCGTTCTTAATATAAATGTAAGGCAAATAATGATAGTCTACATGCAAATTAAACAGAAATTGTGATTCTGCAGAATTATGACCTCATGGAAAAAAATACATTTACAGTAATTATATCAATAGTTGTCTATATATTGACATAAATTTGTAGTATAGAATCAGAGCAGTGGGTAACATAGGAACAAAAGAGGTTTGTCTGATATGTAGGCTCTATATATATAATATATATAATCCTATATTAAAGTGAGATTCTTAAGGCTATTAAAATATGTTATGGACTCTTTAGAGGGGAGACATCACAAATTATCTGGTCTGCATGAGTAAGTTTGTCACTCTTATTACGGATGCAGGTGTACTCAGCTGACAACCCTAAAAAAACAGTATTTTGAGAAAAATTTTATTAATTTACTTGTGTTCACCCTTCTATTTTACAATATACTACAGAAAGTAATATTAAATAGACTAGTCTGTTTAGAATTGTGATGGTTTGGACTGATATACTGGCCTGGATAGCTCAGCAGGAAAAGTGCCTTGTAGCTAATGATAAAACACTACTTAATATAATGATAGAAATATCATTAAGCATTGCTTAATATCATAAAGTATTGCAAAAACTAGTTCACATTCTCAACCGCTTATTGATATAGTTCTTGCATTCAAGAAGCAACGGTTTAACATTTAGAGGTTGAGATTGATTGTATATTGTGTAACGTCCCTCTCAGGAATCTTTCACTCATATGCACATGCCACCACTTGTCTGTGGAGAGCTATAAATTTTGTCCTATACTCGGCACTCAGGGCCATTGAGCAGTGAGGGATCTTTTTCGTGCCAGCAGTGCACCTACTGCGACACAGGACCTTGGTTTTATATGGTCTCATCTGAATGGACTGGTCTCCACGTCCAACAGTAGGATTTGAACCTCCTTATTTAAGGACTCTGTATAGCAGGCGCTCTAAGCACTGTGCCATGCGGGCGACTTAGTGGTTCAGAAAGTCAACTATTTAATAAATTGCAAAAATTTTATAATTTGCACAATGTTGAAAAGCTTAATGGTATTTTTTTCATTAAAAAGTGTTTTTTTCATTAGCAGCCATATCATGTTATCTCTTTTCCTGTTATTTTTACATATTGTCTATTGTTACTTAATTCCTACATTGTTTCAATCGTGTCACATATTTATCATTTTATTATCATGATTATGGCAATACTAATTTCTGTACTAATCATGCTAATAATGCCAAATTGATTTAGTTAAGCAAACATTGATAGTTCTTAAATTTCAAACATGTAAAATCAACAATAGTTAGGTATTAAATTAAATTAAAGGCATTATGGATAAATGCCGTTTCTACTTTATCATTCCTATTGCCTTTTCTCTGGTGTTTTTCACCATATATGGTAGAAATTCAAGCAGAAAACACTTAGACAGTACATTACATAAAATGATTGCATAATATATGAATCCAAATGAGTCATCATATTAACTGAAGTACATATAATTATGTATATGCTTATATTAATATATATATATATAATATACATGTATATATTAGTAAATTTCAAATACATTCTCTTCCGAAAAATAAACATCAGCAACTCAAAAATTACATAAAATTAAAAAAAAAAATCATACTAAAAGACAGTATAGTACTACAGTAATTAAAAGTTGTTTTGCACAAAAATGGATATTGCGAATTCATGGATATATCTAAGCAAAGTTTTCTGATCCCCAATTATAACTGATTTTAAGAATTTCTTATTTGGATATAATGAATAATAGATATAGCAAAGTAATTTCACAGGTCCAAGTTACTTCATTATTTTCTTTTGCAAATCTAGGGATTTCAATTTAACTTTCTATAGATTAACTTCAAACCCTTAACATTGGTGTGTCTTATACCTATATTTCCTAATTATTGTAATAATCTCATACTTGTCTGTTATGGGCTCTAAATTAGAAATAAAATGTTTTGTTCTGTTCTGTTCTATACCAAGAACACCTCTATTAGAGTCCTCACTGAGAGTGCCTTAAAATTTTTTTAAATTTCAGTATTTTTAATACCCAGATATCAAAATTTACTGGTACATGTTTATAATACTAATAGAAGAAAGAATGCTGAGGTTCATGGGAAGTTTTCCGGGTAAAAATATGCTGGGGTCATCATTAAAATATATTTTTGACGTTAACTCCATTACCCACATTTCTGAGTTGGGTAGCAATAGGTATTTATTTATTATTTTTTTTTTTTTTGGCTTTACAATATTGTACAAAATGATAACTCTCATGAAAATCACAGACTCAGAATTTATTGATAATTTGCATTACACACTGGATAGCTCAGCAGATTTCATATTTATTATACCATAAAATTTTTAATCAAAAGGCATATTTCCTAGAAAAATTATGCTATTCTATAGAGACTAAATTTAAAAAATGAAAATCTTAAAGTGCTGAAAAAAAAAAATGATTGGGTATAGGCAGTAGTAGGGGCAATTTCGATGGGTCGGTCAGAGTACATCAAACAAATTTTTATTGTTGGTCTGGGGTTCCTTTATTTTTATCTTTGATACGGCTGTGCATGTAAATTTTACTTGGTAACCTCTTATTCTTTCTAAAAATAATACAAACATAGACATTTTGAAAGATTTCTCCTTAGAACTAAAAATTTCTGACTAACTTCAAAGTAGGAGCACATGTTTGGCATGAATACGTGATTGACACATCATCACGTTTATATTAATTTTTAATGACACGCTGAGATCCTTCGTAAATTTTCAGATTAAAATGTTTATAACTGAAATTTTATTGAAGGAAGTGTTTTATTGTCTGAAAAATAAACGTGGAACGCTCCATATGTTAAACTTACAAATTGTCAATCCTCACACACAGGGGGCTGCCATATTTGTTTACATTTGTTTTTAAGATTTATTCTACCAAAACGAAGAAAGGAGCACCTGACGATTTCAGGTGTATCCACATCCCTCCTGATGAATTGTTAAAGACACTAGAACTTGGCAAATTTAAGTTGAGTTTTAAACTGAAACCGTCCTTAACAGTAGAGATAAAAAATCAAATAGTATTTATTGGAGTATAGTACGTAGAGTATAGAAGAGTATGTAACCACTGTCGTGATCCCGTGCCGGATTGGACAAAACAAGATGGCGGCGGGAACAAATCGAAAAAGGTAGGTACCCGAGATTTCTGTAAATATCCCCCGTTAACCGTCAGATATGCTTGATTCGAAGATACTGTCGAATTCTTAGTAAAATGCTTATTAGTGTGTTTAATTGCTACTTTTCCTATCGTCTCTTAAACTTGAACATTTAACGATTGAAGACTGCAGAATTTCTCCGATTGAGTTTGAAGCGGCATGGAGTTGTTTTTTTCTTCGATTTTGACAGTTTAATGCATCCAGCAGCAGGAGTGTGGCTAACAAATGATACTTTGGAGTAATTCTTACCCGTTGTTATATGTTTATTTGTTATAACCCATTTTATTACAAAAATATTTCGATTTAAAAATGTTGACACGTGCTGGATTGGAATCGGTTAATTTTAATGGAAATTGTGCCGGATTAGACTGCATTTTTGGTGCCGGATTGGATGATGTTCATTATGGTCATTTATGTAATAACTTTTTTTATCTTTAATTTTTTAAGATATGGATGCATCGTTTAATGAAATATACGAGAAGGAGGAATTTGAATAATATAGCTTATCTTACCGAAGTAAGATTGTTATCAGTTATGGTCAACCCCCCCCCCCCCTCGATTAAAAATATTTTTTTTTCCTGTTTCTTTTTATGTCAAATTTTATTGTACCCATATTTCTTTTACAGAGACCACTGTTTTGGTAAACCCCAAAGAGCTCGTGGGGCCAAAAAAAAAGGAAAGGAGGAACCGTTAGTAAGCAAGAGGAATCGTCCGCAAAACCCTTAAGCATACGAGAATTTCATCATGCACATGAGGCGAAATCCGAAATTGCATCATGTTACTTAGTAGGGCCTTTCCATCAGAGGTCAGAAAAACAGCCTCAAATGTATCATCATCAACGGGTGTTAAAAATTTATACATGTACATTTTCTGTTTATTTGAATATAGGATTGAATTGTTTAGAAGTCCCTTCTCTTGTATATTTTTGGTAATATCATTGCAGTCAATAAAGTTAAACTTCATACTCCACAGATAAGAGGTCTTCCAACATTTATTTCAAAGTTTGTGAAAAGGGGGGTTGTCATGGCGTCTATGTAGTACATGTACATTCGAGGTAATTTTTAGACTGCTAGTAGGAAAGGCCCGAGAGTTTGCCATTGGCGAAATTCGATCCTACTTAACAGAGTACTTACGTACGCTAGTACAAAAGAGTGCTTTAGGGTACGCTAGTAAAATTTTATAATTTAATGCAAATAAACTGCTTTCTGTATGTTTTTCTAAATTAGTTTAACATAATAAACATATCATTTAAATAAAATGTGTATGTGTTCTTTATTTTCGAAGTTAGGCCTATTTTAATTTTTGATTTCAGATTGCAGTTTAACACTTGATCCCGATATCGATGTAATTTAACTTCAAATGTTTCGTTGTTAATGTGTAAATTATTACATTTTAAGTAATGTAATTAATTTAATTTTTGATGAATTAAAATTAAGTTGAAATTAATAAGTCTGAAACAACATTACTTATGCTATAGTAAATGTTCATTGAAGGGCTGGATGGCCCCCAACTTTTTGTGATATAAGGTAAATGTTGTATAAAAAATTGTTACTGAAAGAAGTTGGCTTTGAAATTGAAATTTCTAAGGCTCCCCCCTTTCAAAAACGATGCTTCGTGGATGTACTGTACAAAACCATGAACATGATCGAGTAGAATACTAGAATTTCAGATTTGGTTGTATTTCAGAAGACAAAATCAAAATGTTTCTTCTGTTGTATGGCAAATTAAATGAACTTATCGTAAAATTGTTTACAATAAATTTTAGTAAAATAGTTACTTGCTAGAAAAAAGTGTCGATGGTTACAAAGGCATTCCTTTATTTACTACGGGGAAGAGATATTCAAAAAAGACGAAGAAAATTTCTGACATTTTTTGTTAAAATTTAATAAAATAACAGTCATGAACATTTTTTGTGTCTAACGATAACAAACAAAAAAGTAAAATGCGCGAAAGAAAAATAATATAAAAAATCAATATGAATGAGAGAAATCAGTACAATTGTTTTGAATTTGAAATAATCACAGATATACCTATCTAAGATCCTAAAAATATTTTGGTCAGTGTCTGTTCTTCGGACTTTCTGAATTTCTCTATGCCTGTTTTTGATGTACATGTACCGTCGTAGGTTGAACTTCCACCTGTAGCAGCTGCCGTGGATAATGCATCGATACCTCTCTGCTGCTTCATGGTCAATTCTTATATGTGCTTATGAAGTGTCATCTCTACAAAATCCTGAGTGCAGATGCTTAGATAAGCTTTATTAAATTCCTCCTGGTATTTCATTGAACTATGCATCCATAGCTTAAAAAATAAAAGAGAAAAAAGTTATTACATAATTGACTATCATGAACAACATCCAATCCGGCACCAAAAATGCAGTCTAATCCGGCACAATTTCCATTAATATTAACCGATTCCAATCCAGCACGTGTCAACATTTTTAAATCGAAATATTTTTGTAATAAAATGGGTTATAACAAATAAACATATAACAACGGGTAAGAATTACTCCAAAGTATCATTTGTTAGCCACACTCCTGCTGCTGGATGCATTAAACTGTCAAAATCGAAGAAAAAAACAACTCCATGCCGCTTCAAACTCAATCGGAGAAATTCTGCAGTCTTCAGTCGTTAAATGTTCAAGTTTAAGAGACGATAGGAAAAGTAGCAATTAAACACACTAATAAACATTTTACAAGGAATTCGACAGTATTTTCGAATCAAGCATATCTGACGGTTAACGGGGGATATTTACCGAAATCTCAGGTACCTACCTTTTTCGATTTGTTCCCTCCGCCATCTTGTTTTGTCCAATCCGGCACGGGATCACGACAGTGGTAACATGCTTACAAGCTTATGCTTGGATATTTTATTTTATGTATGTTAATTATCAAAAAAAAAGTTGTATTCATGACTATATGCCAATGTGTGATGGTGCTGTTAACAGGAGCGGATCCAGCAATTTTTTAAAGGGGGGGGGGGTCCAGGGATTTTCCCCCCCCCCCCCCCCCCCCAATACATACTCTCAAGGAAAGATTCACAGACTTGTATGGAAATATCTAAGGTTGTGCTAAATACTATCTCTGTTTTATGGCGTTTGGGGTGGGATGCGGGTGGGCTTTAAAACAGAGTTACATGTTAGTTCCTTCAATAGATCTAGATATGATAAAAAACGGTACAAGTATAGCCAACACAGCCAAAGATCGCGGGAATCCAATATCATATTAAACTTCGCATGCTACATACAAGATCTAAATATATAAAAATAAGTAGAATATTTTCTACCATTCTCTCATAAAAAAGTATAATAGAGAAGGTGATTGGAGGAAACTTAATGTGTGAGAATCTCTGTATTCAATAAATAAGTGGGACGTACAAATACAAATGTATATAATCTCGGAAAACGTTTTATCCCTCTCACTCTCCAAAAAATAAAGGGGGGGTTCCAACCCCCGGACCCCCCCCCCCCTTTCTGGATCCGCCAATGCTGTTAATAAATGAATAGAATTGAATATTCCATATTCCGGAAACAGTGGTAAAGGAACAATTTCTAAAACTTAGCAAAATTAACAGTGGTAAAGTCAATGAATTCAAGTAATTTGCTATTGAATTTTCGTGTCTGAAATTAAAAAAAAATTAATAGGATCCGGGTGCTAATGAAAATATCTTTTGTTTCTTTTTTTTCTATTTTTTAGGGAGGGTTCTTTTTACAATTATATTAATACTTTTTCTTAAAATTGCTAATGAACATGTAAGACGTACTTTGTAAGTTTAACGGGTATCTTCCGACAATCACATAATATCTCCTCAAAATAATTCAAAATTTTGTGTATGATTTATATGTCAGGGACTATTTGTACTACTCTGTTCAAGTTTTTCAAGCAGAGGAAGAGGGACATTAATTTAGCCCTTCCACACTAGATCATTTATCATCTTCAATTAGTGTATTAAAGGTCTTTTTTAATATCGTTCCTATTCACAAAAAGAACAATATTACAAAAATCTTGACAGTGCGATGATGGTCGTTTTTACATGTATGAATATAATTTTTGGTGACTGTATATTTGAAGACTTGCCCTTTCCTTTAAAGACGGGAATTTTCAGGCTAATCGAACTATTATCAAATATATTAACAAATACAACATCTTTTCTGCAAATCTAAGTTTTTTCTTATCATCTAGACCCGGCGAAAGGTCTTGACGACATATTCAAAGTGATGCTAAATAAATGCACTTTTTTGTCCCCCGCTTTCGCGAAAGCGAGGGGACATTAAATCTCATTCGCCTGTCCGTCTGTCAGTCTGTCCGTCACAAAAACTTTAACCTTGCCCATAACTTTTGATTTAGTAGAGCTATGACTTTCATATTTCACATGTGTATTCCCTGTGACAAGACCTTTCTTTGGGTAACACCAAATTTAACCTTTTGACCTTGACCTTGGAGTTTGACCCACTTTTACACAGAAATTTCAAACTTTTACTTTGGTCATAACTTTTACAAGCAAGTTCAAAGAATTGTGGTCCCCCGCTTTCGGTGTCTTTGTGGTCGAAATATTATTTTTTAGGGTCAAGGTCAAAAGGTCAAAGTTATTGGTATCATATGTAAGGTCTTGCCACAAAGAATATAAATATTTAAAATATGATAGTCCTAGTTTCTACCGTTCAAAAGTTGTGACCAAGGTTAAAGTTTTTAGAAAGAAGTTTAAACTCCAAGGTCAAGGTCAAAGGGTCAAAGTTCTTGGTATGCAATGAAAGGCCTTCTCTTAGGGATTACATACGTGAAGTACGAAAGCCCTAGCCCTTACCGTTTAAAAGTTATGGTCAAGGTTAAAGTTTTTCAGAAGTACGTAAATTTCCAAGGTCAAGGTTAAAAGGTCAAAATTGTTGGTATCCAATGAAAGGTCTTGCCACAAAGAATATATATGTGAAACATAAAAGTCCTTGTATCTACTGTTCAAAAGTTGTGACCAAGGTTATAATTCTTAAAAAGTAGTTAAAACTCCAAGGTCAAGGTCAAAAGGTCAAAGTTCTTGGTATCCAATGAAAGGTCTTTTTACAAGAATAACTTATTTGAAGTATAAAAGCCATAGCCCTTACTGTTCAAAAATTATGGTCAAGGTTAAAGTTTTTTCATAAGTACGTAAATTTTCAAGGTCAAGGTCAATAGGTCAGTGTTGTTGGTATCCAATGAAAGGTCTTGTCCCAAAGAATAAATATTTGAAATATGAAAGTCCTAGTACCTACCATTCAAAAGTTATGGCCAAAGTAAAAGTTTGGAATTTTTGAGTAAAAGTTGGTCAAACTCCAAGGTCAAGGTCAAAAGGTCAAATTTGGTGGTACCCAAAGAAAGGTCTTATCACAAGGAATACACATATGAAATATGAAAATCATAGCTCCACTAAATCAAAAGTTATGGGCAAGGTTAAAGTTTTTGTGACGGACAGACTGACGGACAGACGGACAGACAGACGGACAGACGAATGAGATTTAATGTCCCCTCGCTTTCGCGAAAGCGGGGGACAAAAATGGAAGGTACTAGGACTTTCATATTTCACATATATATTGCTTGTGGCAAGACCTTTCATTGGATACCAACAACCTTGACCTTTTGACCTTGACCTTGGAGATTAACGTACTTATGAAAAAAGGTTAACCTTGACCATAAGTTTTGAACGGTGAGGACTAAGGCTTTTGTTCTTCACTTAAGTAATCCATGTGAGAAGACCTTTCATTGGATACCAAGAACTTTTACCCTTTGACCTTGACCTTGGAGATTTAACTACTTTTTAAAAACTTTAACCTAGGTCACAACTTTTAAACAGTAGATACTAGGACTTTTATATTTCACATATGTATTCCTTGTTGCAAGACATTTCATTGGATACCAACAACCTTGACCTTTTGACCTTGACCTTGGAGATTTATATACTTATGAAAAACTTTAACCTTGACCATAACTTTTGAACGGTGAGGGCTAGGGCTTTCGTACTTCACATATGTAATCTTTTTGAGAAGATCTTTCGTTGAATACCAACAACTTTTACCCTTTGACCTTGACCTTGGAGTTTTAACTACTTTAAAAAAAACTTTAACTTTGGTCACAACTTTTGAAGGGTAGATACTAGGACTTTTATATTTCACATATGTATTTCTTGTTGCAAGACATTTTATTGGATATCAACAACTTTGACCTTTTGACCTTGACCTTAAAGATTTACGTACTTATGTGAAAACTTTAACCTTGACCACAACTTTTGAACCTTAAGGGCTAGGGCTTTCATACTTCAAATATGTAATCCTTGTGAGAAAACCTTTCATCAACAACTTTGACCCTTTGATCTTGACCTTGGAGTTGACCTACTTTTAAAAAACATTAACTTTGGCCGTAACTTTTTAACGGTCAGGAAAAGGGTTTTCATCCTTCAATGATAATTTCTATGAAATGACATATGATAGGATGTTCATATTAGACACAATATGTCATAAAAAATAACATCTCACCAACAAACACACCGAAAGCGGGGGACCACAATTCTTTGAATTTGCTTGTTTTATGTATTTTCGAAGTATCACGCACTTGTGTAAGTGAAGTTGTACGCAGAACTGTAGAGTAATGGTTCTATATTTTAGTCTTTAACCATAACAGTACAGTTTTAATACGATATAAAAAAAGTGCAATTTTCTGCGCGCGGTTGGGGAGAATTTCTACACTTTCAAGCATTTAGCCAGTCAGTATTACCTTTCACTCCAAAATTTTAGACAAACTCTTTGAATAACTGATCTGTGATATATATTTTATTTACTACCACCTAACCCTTCATACTTGTCTCTACAGTCCAATAAACTCACTCGTTTTGATTTTAGTCGGTCGGCAGAAAAATAAAAAAAGGGAGATTTTTGGTCTTTAGAGACGACTAAAGGGTTGGGAGGTGGATGAAATACCCACATTTCGGTGTCTGTACTGTTATGATGAAAGACAAAAATATGGCCATAGACGAAAATATAAAACCTAGCGCCAGCTACAGTTCTTTCTGCAGCTAAAGACATCATAAGTTTGTCAAAGCCTTGCCTCTTTGCAGAGTCCTGACTGCTTCCTCATATCATAAGATTTGTAGTTCAGAAGACAAAACAGTGCTACAACGACCGGGACCTACTCAAAACATTGATCAGTCTTGAATGGAAAGGTGACTGGCATTTATCCCTGGTTGTCAAATGTGAGATCATCAAAACAAAAATCATCATAAAAAACATTCACAAGAAGATACATATATAAGTTTTGAACATGACCAACAAAGTCAACAAGTACTGGCTGAACATGTACCTACCAACGACAATCTTATCTGGAACCACAACATACTAGTATATATGAGAAGGCAAACTCCACCTCAGATTTTGAGGATTCTTCCGCCCTACATATTTTGCAGTAGTTCTACAATGTAGCTGTTCCCCCAAAACTAAAAGGTTGTGGAAGGTCAGACCCCAACTGGAATATGACAGTCCCCTGAATATCTCTAGTAGCAATTCGATCTTCATCCTTCTTCCATATCCTATTGGGGCTGAATGGCCAACAACAACTGCGAATCTCTTATCCCAGAACAGAATTTTTATAATTTATTTTTTCATGGGATCTGTTTGTGGAACACTTATTAATTAGCACCCTTTATCCAATCACATTTCTTAAGTCGTGGATGGCATAGTCTTGCCTGTGATCTCTTGCACTTCAACCTTGATTGGAGTGCAAGGGATCATGGGACTATTGCGAAAATAATGGCGGCTGCTTTCCAGGTCAATTGCTTAAAGAAACCTCTGGCCATAGGATCAGTCTATAGGCCACTTAGCAGTGACCAGCTGTGTATGGATTCATTATGCATGCAGTGTAATCCGTTTCTTCTCCAAAAGTTCAATGGTTCAGTGATGTGGTTTGGAGGGATCTGATCTTACCAGACATTGATTGGCATTCAGCAACAACCATGGGCCATAGCAATCCAGCTAATGTAAACTCAGCCTTCATTGACACTATTCATGACGTTGACAGTGAACTGAATTTTAACTCACCAATCCGCAATGAAAATATACTGGACATCATTATTACTAACCGCCCCACTCTTGTAAATAAGTGTGTCATAATCCCAGGCCTAAGTTATCATGGTGCCATATTGTTCAACTCAAACATCGCACCAATTTTAACTAGACAAAAATCAGTACGACATCTCATCCACTTGTGGAAACAGACAAACCTTGGTGGCATGATAGAAGATATCAGCCAGTTCTCTACAGGGTTTACAGCTAACCACAGCATCAACTCACCAGTTAATCAACTCTGCATGGTTATCCTTCAAGTCAAAGTACTTGAGTGCATTACAGAAGCATGTACCAACAAAGATGATTTCTCAACAGTAAAGCCAATTCTGGTGCAATAGAACAATCAGACGACTATCTCTTCGGAAACGGAGAGCCTTCATGAATTAAGGCAAAGCAGACCAAAAAGCAAAAAGATTGGCAGTACTACCGAGATATACGGAGGTCAGGCCAAACAGAGTGCAAGGCAGATTTCAATTGTTACATTGAAAAAATCATGAGTGACGATAAGAGCTAACAAAAAAAAAGAAAAGAAAGAGAGCTAGCTAAAAAGCTACACCACTATGGAATCCGCAGTCCAACTTTTTGTCTTCGAAAGAGTCGATCATCCTAATCAACAGCTCCCAGCTTGTTGCAGTGGAAGGCATCTTTTCAGAATCAGCATCAGTAACCTCAGGAGTACCCTAAGGGACAGCGCTAGGTCCATTTTATTCATTGTGTACATCAATGATCCACCTGTAAAGTGAAGTCAAAATCTCGTCTGTTTGCAGATGACTGACTGCAGTATAAGAAGATTAACAGACCAGAAGATCTAGCGGTGTTGCAACAGGACCTACATAGCCTCCAAGAAAGGGAAAGAAATTGGTTGATGGAATTCAATGCTGACATCTGCATCATACGGACAATGAAAATCATCCAGGGAAACTACTTCATACATAACCAGGTTCTGAATTTGACCAACAAGGCTATGTACCTGGGTATAATCATTACCAAAAACCTAAGCTGGAATCCCAACATAGACCAGGGCTGCCAGAAGGCAAACTCAACAACAGCCTTCCTCATGAGGAATCTATCATCCTGTCCTCAGAACACTAAGGAGATGTGCAAAATATTATCGTCAGACCACAAGTGGAATTCGCTTTTACTGTGTGGCACCCCTATACCCTGAACAAAATCAACAAGCTGGAAAGAATACAGCACCGAGCTGCAAGATATGTGCTGGCTGACTACCAATCGGATTAAAATTAGATGTTAAATCCGGTTGCATACTCGCTACACTAATATCTAACAACATCCCACAGAAGGTCACGTCAGAGGTCAATTTCGGAACAACTCTAGATAGACTTATTCGCTTCAATAAAATAATAACAATAATTTCGCAGGCAACGACTTGATTGGTTGATATAATTTGACCTCTGAAGTGACCCTCTATGGGATGTTGTTAGATGTTAGTGTAAGAGTAATACATGCAAACGGATCCACTAAATTTATTGGCTGACTACCAGACCACCAGCAGTGTCACCTCCATGATTCAGCAGCTGGGATGGGAACCACTGCAACATCATAGACAAGCCGCAAAAGCAGTGTTGATGTTGATGTGTAATATGATCTTGCATTCTCGAGTAGCCATCCTCACCTTTTTTCCATCCTAGCTACTCATGCACGGATCTAGAGGGGGGGTCGGGGGGTCAGGGGGTCAGGACCCCCCTGGAATATACCAGGTAAAAAAATGTATATACTAAAACAAGAAAAAAGTTACCATGGACCCCCCTGGAGAACACCGACACCCCCCCCCCCCCCCCTGGTAAATGCGAATATGTGTGAAATGGGTATGAAAAGTGAAAGATTTGAGGCAATGGAAGTCACCACTGAAAGAATTGAGGCAATAGAAGTCACCACTCCCCCCCCCACGAAATAGGTTTTTTTTTGACGTTTGGGCGAGTTTAGGTTTTTTGTTTTTTTTGTTGCTTGTCAAGAAATTTCTGGGATTGGATTTTTTTGTTGACTGGGTTTGGGCGAGTTTAGGTTTTTTGTTTTTTGTTTTTGTTGCTTGTCAAGAAATTTCTGGGATTGGATTTTTTGTTGACTGGGGTGGACCCCCCCTGGAAAAAATTTCTGGATCCGCGCCTGCTACTGGTGCTGCTACTATAGAGTCCATCAACAAAGACTGCAAATTCCGTTTGCCAGGTCATGTATTTCAGAAGTGGATTCCTTGTATTGTTGTCACCAGGTTCACGGGTACGAAAGAGTCAGTCAATATAATGGGTCTCAATAGCTTGATGGTTAGAGCGCTTGCACGGTGCGCCAGAGGTATTTGGTTCGAGTCCCTGTTGAGACTTGACTTTTCACTAAATTTGACGTTTGGCTTCCAACGTACAAAACCCACTGTTCTCTTGGAATATGCGTCTCGCATTTCCTTAACTCCTAGAATTCGAGGGCGAATTTCTACGAAGAGGGGGTATGGCACCGAGTTCACAGGTGCGTAAGGTCAGTCAATATATCGGATCAGTGGTTGGAGTGCTGACATGGTACACCAGAGAGTCCCGGTTGACACTTGACTTTTCACTGTGCCATAATTATTATACGATATTGGTCTCTGAGTTACATTATGAATTTGTAAAAGAAAAATATTGGGGAATAATCGATCTGAGGGTTGTTCTGCTTTCAGGAGATTAGCACTGTCAGAAAATTCAAGATATCCAGTCAATAAATGTAGGGAGGGTATTTTAATGATTTTGAGAAAAAACACTATAAAAATTAAATAATTCAGTTGGTGACCCACAAGAACTTATATTAATCTGTTAAAGTACCATTCATGATAGTAAAGGACATAAATATTCGTTTTGTGAAAAATTGCAATCGTAAAATTGGATCATTAGTTATTTAGAGCATAGCGGGATATCCATCCGGGCCTTCGCTATATTATTTTCCCAGCAAACCGCAATGATAATATATTGCAGAGACATAGATTATGTGATTTCGTCGACAAAATGGAAGTGTTTACTTCAGCGGAGTGGGCACTGATTCAAACTCGATGTCTAAGATGAAGAAGACATTGAACAGGGTGCTTACAAAATTTGAGCAACTGAAAGCACCCCCAAACGCAGATTGTGGGGTGGAAGAAACATTGCGCACAGATCATTTTCAAGTGTGCAAGGTAATTTGATGTCTTCGTAATTTTTATCGGTATTTACAGATTTATGTGTACAATATTATGTAAATATCGGATTTAGAATTTATTTCATAGTTTTTATGAGAACGTTGACTTTTGTCATTGCAGACGGTCCGATATGGATTTCCATACGAGCCGACATCAGTAGCATTCGATCCAGTCCAGCATCTCCTAGCGATTGGCACAAAATCAGGGTCGCTTCGAATGTATCCTTCTTAATTTATTTTAACAATAGAGGATTTAAAAATACAAACAAAACACAAATCAGTAAGTCATCTGATTTGGAACCCATGGTGCTCAACTGGCGGTGAGTATGTGGCCTTGATATTATGGAGGCTGTTACATTTCATGTTTAGCAAATCAATATATTGTGTGTATTGCTTTATCAGATGTGAAGTAGAACGAATGGTCAATATAATTGTGTCTAAAATGACAGTCAGCTCTTGCTGAGCAATTCCAGTTAGTTCACTATATTCTAGGCCCACGCGCACAAGTTTTAACCTTGCTTCAAGTAATTAACAAATGATCATGATTAATCTCTCTCCGTGTTCACAGAACTTACAATGAATACAGTCTTTAAAAGAAATTAAAGAGTAGTAAATTCTCAAATACACATTTTGTGAGTAAGTTGAGTGAACAACTTGGAAGAACTCTTTGAAATGTTTTTTTTTAAACAAATATTAACAAGATGTGTATTTGTGCGTTAATTGTTGTATAATGAAAAAAAGAAAGAAATGAATGATATTTGAAAGAATTTATTCATTTTCTTGCTGTATGCTCTTAGTTGCATTTTTTTAAAATGTACATGACATGACATATAGGATGCTCATGACTACATGCTGAGAAAAAGGGAATCAGCTTCTTTTGAAATTTTGTAACTTCTTATTCACCTAAAAAATAAAAGGATTTGTGGCATTTTATCATTTTCATAATAAAATTAAAATACTTCAAGAAAAGAAGGAAGGAAAACAAAAATCAAGTATCTTTGATAGGCCCTTTGGTAATTTTTTTAAGTACATATCATATGCATGAAGTACACATGCATGCATTCATAGTCATAATCAGCTGGTTTCTACAGGTTATCTAGTCACAAGGCAATAATTTAAACAATGTACATGATGTATGAATCATGGTAACAGTATAATAATTACTCATTATGATAAAAAGGAATAAGAGATTAACGATATCTTAATATTAATAAATTCCGATACTTATCTTTTCAAGTGTTTGATAAGTGGCTCAAGGAACTTGAATTCATTGCTATCAAGTATAATCAACTGAATACAGATATAAAATGTGTGTGCTTTTCTTTGATTCAACTTTTATAGGTACTTTTGTAATATTTCTGTGGATTTTAAATTTTATATATAAACATTATAAATAAGATAGATGAGAACTCGTAACAATTTTATTTTTCTGCAATAAATGATTCATCACTTAACATGCTTTGCTTCATGTTACTATTTAAAAACAGGTTTCTAAAGCTTGAAATAGTTCATAAAGGGGGCTTTTGAAATATTAAGTTGAGATAAAAGTAAAAACGCAGTTTATCATGTTTATGTTTGTATTTTGAATTTCATTTTGAGTTTCATTGATCCTCTCATTTGCAAATATGAAGGACATTTATCTCATTCCCCTGTCTGTCAGTCTGTTGGTAGTCAACTACACACTTTTACTTTGTCATAACTGTATACTAAGAAAAGATCAGGTTTTCATATATACAAGGTGTGCATTGATAAACAAGACAACACTTCTCCAGATATTTTCTAATTTAGTCGCATGACTTTGACCTAGATTGTTGATTGATTGTATATTGTTTAATGTCCCTCTCGAGAATTTTTCACTCATATGGAGACGTCATCGTATGCCGGTGAAGGGCTTCAAATTTTTACCTTTACTCGGCACTCAGGGCCATTGAGCAGGAAGGGATCTTTATCGAGCCAACGCCTGCCGCTGATACGGGGCCTCGTTTTTTAAGGTCTCATCCGAAGGACCCGCAACTTTCACTTCAAAGTGCCGAGCGCATGGCAAAGGAACAGTTGCTACCCATTTTAACGACTAGGTCAGTCGCGGCCGAGGTATGAACTCACGACCTTCAGACCATGGAGCGAGCGCTCTACCGACTGAGCTACTGTGAACGGTGCTTTGACCTAGAAGATTAACTAACTTTTTTTGAAATTTTAACCTTGGCTTTAGATTTTGCAGTTCAGGTGATAGGGCTTTCATATACTACATGTGCATTACTTGTGACAAGACCTTTCAGAATGAATTATAGAATTTTCTGAACTATCAGAATGTACTATAGTTTTGACCTAATGACCTTGACATGAAAGCTAATCTTGATAATTTTTAGAAATTTAACTTTGGTCATAACTTATGCACCACAAGATGTAAGACTAAAGATGAAACACAAGATGTAATACTTAAGATGAAAATGTATTTTATCACATGTTCATTACCAGTTACTTAGTTTGATAGACATTAGACAGGATAGGTCACCTCTCCCTAACCAATATAAGACCCTGAAATTGGGGGAAGATGGCAGTTCCCTGGATAGGCTGGTTTTGAAAAAATATTGTGCTCAGATATTAATGACATTCCATTTGTTGTATTGATTTTTCAAGGCTGGGTTAACAAGTATTTGGGAGTTGTTCTATATTGTATACAAATATGTTAATTGTACCAGCAGATTGTTTGAGTTTGAAATGTGATGTTTACATTTTAAATTTTAGTAATGAATTTTACTTTCATGTCACAATCATTGAGTCCAACTTCACAAGGAAAACCCAAGGGTTGAGGGAAGCTTATCTAATGCCCTTGACATCAGCATCAGCATCCAACTTGAAGGTTAACATTTTTGGAAAGGTTTTCTTATTAAGTACTTTTATGCCCTTCATTATGCAGAGTAGCTTGGCAAATGCTTCTAGTTTGTTGCATTATACCTTTTAGGGTCTCAGATGCTGCAATTTCAGGAAAGGATTATGACCAGTTGATTTTAGAGCAGGTTAATGGTTTTTTAGAGCAGTTTAAAATTTTTAGAGCAAGTCTTCCAATTAACTATACATGCTACAGTAAAACTTTTTTAGTACGAACACGGATATAGCGAATTTACGGATATAGTGAAGTTTTTCTGGGTTCCCGGCAAAATTCTTAACAAATCTTTGTAAAATTTTACGGTTATAACGAACTCTGATATAACGAATTTACAGATATAGCCAACTGATTTTGAGTCCCGTTGAGGTTAAATATAATGAAATTTACATCTTTTATAACGAACTTTCAAAGATTATCAAAAAAATTGATAAATTGAACTGACTTTATTTCCTTTTAGCATTTGTATATAAATTTCAATTCATAATAAAACCTTAGTTATCAAAGATATGTTTTGTAATATTTGCTTCCCTAACATATTTGGTAGTAAACCTGAAGGAAACATGCATATTGCGAATTCGCTATAATGGTTATACGAATTCGTTGTACGGATATAACGAATTACGGATATAGCGACCAAACTTGCATGGATGATACATCTATTGGTGTACACTTCTGGACTTGCTTCAGATGCTGGATCTAGCTGCAGGATCACGAAAAAGACTTGGTCTTAAGTCATATTTACATTCGCGTGTAATAATATTCATCAATTGATTTAGAAAGTTGTTTTATTAATGAAGACATATTTTTTTATGATCGACATTCAAGGTCAAAATTATTAAATATTTCATGACAAAAAATATTGATATGTGGAAAACATGAATTTACAAAAAACTTTATGTGCTGAATTAAATCAATATTGCACATAGGTACAAGAAGGGTCCACACGAAGAAAATCAGAATCTCCTAGTGAACGTAATAATCTGATAATTGATTCCTTGGCTTATAATATCTAATTTTTATCATTTTCCATATATATTGAGACTACAGTAATAAATTAAGACATGTGATATAATGTCTTGTGTGTTATTCACATTGTCTACATTTAAAAATGCATGGTTTTTCCACTATTTTTTATTTGTTCTTTGTAAAACCATGAACTCCTACATATAATTATTAATTTGCTCTGTTTTCATTATAATCACATGATAATAAACCCCTTTGCTCATGAATTATCCCCACGCAGTGGCCACCAATGAGTATGAACCTATATTAACTGAATGATCATTATAATGACCTTAAATTGTATTTTACAAATTAAAATGTTTGATATTGTGAAGCAGTGTTATCATACGGTAGCTAGTATTTACGTGTATGTGGCAATAGAATGTATGCCATGAATTATTTTAAGGAAGAAATTGAAAGTACTAAGATACATTATATGTTTATATGTATATGATCTGTATTCATGTATGAATTTGGTGTAGATAGACAGTATATACCTGGTACACACATGTGAAGGACTTATTCAATATCAATATAACAACAGTTTTAACAATTAGCACTTAGTCCTATGTTGTTGTTATAAATAGTCTTGAAAGTATTTATCACATAATTTTTATCTCCTGCTGAGATTGGAGAGTCTGGAAATAGACAAAGGTACCAAATATAGATATGATGGATGTGTACGTGATAATAGACATAGGTTTTTCTTTAATTAATTGTCTTGGATAATCATCATACGATGGTTGAAAATATATGAATAGTGTGCAGAGGGGGGGTGAAGGTGGGGGAGAAAATGCAGGAAAACTTGATATAATTTATAGTTATACATTTATAGATGGTGACAGATTATTTTTAGGTCCCCATTTTATTTTTGCCCACTTAAGTATCACAATATTGTACCTGATTGTATGTACCTGTATGATATGAAATGATATGCCATTTCAGATATTTGTACCTAAAATGGCTTGATCACGCATTATCAATATATACCGATAATTGATAATTATAAGGTTTAATCTGAGAGCATACACTGATCATTTAGACCATCTCCGTTAGAAAGTACTACATGTATATATACTTCAACATATAGCAAACAGTGATTAGTGGAAACATTATAATACATGTAACTGCAATAATCTTGTGCTGGGATCAATGACCTTTAAGACTGTTACTTATATATTTGTTTCTATACATACCTCCATGTATTATTGTGTTTTGAATTAATATTGGGAATTATTAGAAAGAAATTTGCTTGCGCAGACCACCATTAAGTGGAGCTGAAGTGATTTTATTTCAGTATTATTTTTCTGCTCTCTTGCATCATGTGTGC